TGGCCGCGGTCGGGATGTGCGTGACCGCGGGGAAGGGATGGTTGGCCGCGGTCGCGGTGGTTGTGACCGCGGAGAAGGGCCTGTTGGCCGCGGGTAGAAACGCTTGTCGGCTGGTTTACGGGACATCTTGCTCTTCGCGTATCTTTTGATTGAACCGTTGGATTGCTAAGCTGTAAAGTGTGCTGGAAAGATTATACTTCCATCTTTAAGATCTCCAAATTTGAGCTGGATCGGACGGTGAGAAGGCCTTCAATCGGGGGTAAACTTCTGACAATCCAAATTTGAGCTGGATCGGACGATCCAAATTTGAGCTGGATCGGACGATCCAAATTTGAGCTGGATCGGACGATCCAAATTTGAGCTGAAATCTGGTTTTCTATCCTTTTTGTTAAGCTTTTCCCAAAGTTACCTGAAAAGAGTCTTGGAACTACAAATACTAGAAAAACGTAATAAAAGCACTTAAAAGCAATTAAAAACATAGAAAAAGTATTTCAAAACGATCCATAAAAGTTGTCAAAATACGGTGTTATCATTATACAGTTACCTAGACTTATTGATCTGCGGTTTATTCCATACATAAGCAGCCACATCCGGGAGCTATACCCACAAGTAATTATATGACATACCTTTTGACGCTGTTAATGGCGTTGTGCACATTCTCATCTAGCCTACGGAGCTTTTACAAGTGAGACTTGTTATCATGTCCTATTAGAGTCTTGAGTCTTTTATCACACTGATAACGCTGATCTAGACGGGACAAGAGCACACGCGGACGTTTGCTTTTTCTTGTTGCCTAAGGTTGGTTAACATCTGGAGATCGTCTCCGTTACCCTATACAAAGAGTTAAATAAATTAACACGTACATTATATTATATCGGTAATTTTATTAGCACATAACTCTCCTCGTCTTAAACTTATGGAAGGTGCACCGAGATCACCATCTTTAACCACCGTAGGATTTGGAGGGGCTTGGAAAGACTCGCTAGCAATGGCAGAGGGATCCTGGTTGAGAACCAATTTGTTTTACATGGGAAAGTGATAGTGCAGAGTGTTTGAAAAAAGAATAAACCGACGCACAATGAAGACGTGAATACTAACCGACACATGTTGGCTCGCACTTTTAGCTTGTTCGGTGAATTTGGATTAGACAACATCATCCTGCACCACAGCTTGATCCTGACAAACAAAGAGTCTGGATTAGTACAGTAGTAGATAATGGTCAGATATCTGTAGGATATGATTTGGTATTTTTGTTATCAGAAAACTAAAATTATCTGCTATCTATGATAACACGGTAAGTACTCACTGCCGATAATACTTCAGCATTTCCAGACTCCTGGCCAGATGTGATGAGGTGCGGTTTGGGGGCGGTTCATCGTGAACAATAGCTTGCTCCTGCTACCAATAGAAAACGATTGATGAAACGATAATCGGAAGTAAAGAATAACTATATGAAGATACTAATAACATTAAAGGATAACGGATAACGCAGATATCCCGAATAACGCAAAATCATGCTAACTATACGACCATGATAATTATTACTACCCAATCCTTCCACTCATTGGGCGTCTCGGCGATATTTGCAAGGTCATTCACCAGAGGGGGTGGGCTACTACCGGGGGAGGGGGGGGGGCAGTGAGGCCTCCTGCTGCCGGTGCCTGCATATCAAATTACCGGTGTTAATCACTAAACTTTTGATTTGCATGTAAAGAAAACAAAACTGCATGTAACTGAGTTACCGGGCTTCCAGCCGATGGGGTAATAGTTGTAGGTGCTTCCTCTTGGAATATGGCCATTCTTCCCACGTCAACATGGTCTGCCGAGTAATCAATCACTGTCATTTCCAACACCAACCCCGTTGTTAACGTCGCACACATCCGGTGTTGAATGATTGCTCGCATTCTCCTCGTCGCAATTCTCGCTTGTGTGGGAACTATCTGATACCGTACCCTTAGCAGACAAAGTTTCAACAGAAACTGACACTGTTGGCACTTGTTCGTGGTTAACCGTGTTATCTGTAATCAATTTCTTCAATGCAGCAATAATGACCTTGTTGTTCTTCTCAAGCAGGTCGGTAAATATTTTCTCTAGAGCCCTTTCATGATCAGCCAACTTCGCCTCAATGATATTCCAAATGCGAGATTCATCGGGAATTGTTGTGCTTGAACCAGAACCTCTATCCTTAGTCTTCCCTCTCCTTCCGCCTACAGCTGCGCCAGATTTGCCTCTTCTATTCTTTGTCTTCCCTGCTATCTCAGCTGGTTTGCTTCCACCCAAAAACATCTCGCTCTTGAACTGAAACCCTTCTTTAATGAGCTTCAACATGTTTTCGACCTTCGGATTGACTGGATCGTCAGCACAACTAAGATCTTCCTGGTCATCGTCAAAAACTAAATCCGGGCGAATGAGAGAGTGGACAGGGTCCTGCAATCAAAGACACTGGTGGAGTTGATAACAATGTACGATATATACCTTCGAAGTTGTGTATAACATATATCATGCCGTCGTCGTTAACTGTTAAAACTAAGTCAGACCAATTTGTCGGCAAAAGTTACTGTGGCTAGCATTGTTAACACTTATATATATACAAGTCCGTTAACTAAAATAGCTAGCTAACTGTTAACAACCATATAATCAATTTTTCGGTTAACCAGTGTGCTGATATAGATAACACTTATATGGATAACTAGACCATCGTTATGCTAACGTTTATTTGAGTTAATGTTGTACGCCTGTTAACTAAACTATCTACGATTAAATTGTATCTTGCCCGCTTCATCGATATCACGTGCGTGACTTAGTTTTAGTTGGAGGACTTGTTGCTGTTGGGGCAGGAAATCGTCTTCTTCGTCCAGCTCAGCAGACCTAGTCTGGTTCAGACTATCGGCGAGAGAGGGAACGGCTTTCAGCAAAACAAATTGCAGAGCAGCAAAAATACCTTGAACCGCTACATTGGCGTTGACAAGTTTCCATGGTTCCCTCTCCTTGATGGAAGATATCATCATGTCGAAGGAGAGACGACCCAATGGGTACTCAACGAAGGACACCGAATCCTCAGTCATTTCTGCATGTTCATTCACCACTTTGACTCTTGGGTAGTGAACGGTCGGAAGTAGAATCCCATCTACGAGCACTAAACAGGCCATTTTAAGTCAGGTTTGCTTATTGAGATCCCGCTGGCGATTCAGAATCGCTATGGCTCTCTAAACAATTTCACATAGTTTGGGTATGTAGACGATTTACGCTTCCTCGCTTCAGTTGACGGTAACCTCCCAAAGTTCAGTCCCGTCATAATTTTGAATTCGCGGAGAGAGAATCTTATCGGCCACCTAGAAAAAACAAACCAAATCTCGTTCTCCCTATCAACATCAAGCTGTCGAGAGAGTAAAAACTACCCAAAGGTGCCATGCCGGTTTTGATGGGATCTCCAGAAGCGTTCCCAGTGGCGACTCGCGGATAAATTCCAGTTCTTCTTCTTCAAGCACACCTACTAGATCTGAGATTATGCTGAATTTTTGGTAAGTTATTACTCGCTGTCCCCATGGCTCATCTCCCGCCGATATGACCGCTTTAGAAGTTCCAACGATGTCATGGCAGAATAGAATTGAAGAAAGTAGAAAAGAGTGAGACTTGTGACTAACTCGGATATTCGAGATTCCCTCGTTTTTATCGGATAACAACAAAAAAAAACTAGAAAATGGGAACGACACACACCAGGGAGTTCAAATAGGGTATTAGAAGGCTTAAAACACTATTTGGGCTTATCCTTTCGTTTTCCCCGGATATAAAGAAGGCGTCAGTATCTATAAGAAGAGATAGTCTTGTCGGTTATCTGACACACCCAGGGCGTGTAGGTCAGACGAATCAGTTTTCATGGGTAGGGGTGGTGTGGTCTTTTTGCGGTGAACACATGTGTGGGACAGGGTCTAAAAACGTGGGTCTTAATTATGATAACTTCTTTTACTCTTTAGTGGAATTTCTCAAGATATAATACTTGATAAAAAAAAAATTATATGGATATGAGTTCTTGTTTTCTTAGGATTAGTAGTATTGTCTACTCATGCACTTTTTTCACCGCTATAAACCTTATACATTATAGTTATTCTGTTACACATTTTTCATATGTGACATGAAAAACACTTGTGAATGTAAGGGCAGCTAAATTTTGGTTGTAGTATTTGATAGTAGAAAATAGTTATAAAGGACAGCTAAATTTAAAAGCAACTAGTAGAAAAAATATAAGATTTGGTAAAAAGTTTCTTGTTTTGGTTGTGTCTCTTATAATTCTTGATTTTGGTATTGGTACTGACATTAATATTGCTTCTCATTATTGGTATCTATTTTAAATATGAAACACATATGCTCACCATATTATCTTTCTCTCTTAATGAATCACTACTCAATTTCTATTTTTTTATAAAAAGTATTTATGTGTTTTGTCTATTTCAAAACTAGTTATTTTTTATTGTGGTTGAGTTTATAGTTTTCTTAGTATTGGATATTGTAATCTTCTACATCCTTTTAGCTCTCACCATTTGTATCAATTTAGATTATAGAAAAAACTCATAAAAAATTATAAAGAAAATTAATCTTATGTACCTACGTATTTTCTGATATTTTTATAGTAAAATACACACAAATTATATTTGTTTTGCCTAAAATTGGTTTTATATTCTCAAATCTCTTTAGATTTTGTTTCTGAATATATGATTTGGCTCATTTAATCATATTTATTCTCCATTTTTCATATACAACCAATAAAGTAAAGAGACTAGGTTGTTGACTAAGCTTAGCCTAAAGTATTTGGTGTGAAGATTAATCTTCAGATTTTATTAATATACAATCATTGACACGTTTTGTTCATATAATCACTCTCTAGATTTAAAACTTATATCTTCTTTAATTTCCACTTTCCAAGAGCTTATATAAGAAGAGACCCTCACATCATAAAAAAACATAACAACCATTAAAAAAAAACTAAATAGCTCTCTAGAGAAATGGCAAACTCGAATGTTTTTATAGGAGACAGTCAAGTGAATGAAGAGAAGCCTCCGCCACGAGTGTGTCCAAGGTGTAACTCAGACAACACTAAGTTCTGTTATTACAACAACTATAGCGTGTCTCAACCGCGCTACATCTGCAAGAACTGTCGCCGACATTGGACTCATGGTGGAACGTTAAAGGAAATACCCATTGGTGGAAGTGGTCATAAAACCAAGCGTCCGAAGATAAATCAACCTTCTGTTTCTCAGGTAGTTTCTGTTGATATCCAACAAGTTAATCACAACCAACCTTTCTTAAATGTTCAAGAAACCAACAACTTTGTTGGAACTTTTGGTCCTTCTTCTTCTTCTTCTATTGTTGCTGTTGGGAACCATTTTGGTTCTTTGCCTGAAATTCATGGTGATATGGTGCTTCCAATTCGAAGTGTTCCACCAATGAATCGTTTAGAATTCTCTGAAGGATCATTTCACCAAGATTACTTTGATGTTGGATCCAATGCTTTGATTGGTAATCCTTGCATAAACCAACCAATTGGTAGACATGCTAACAGTTTTAGCAGTTACCATATAAATCAAGAGGACTAAAATAAGCAGAACCAGAGCTTCAACAATAATATTATGAACATGAATCATAATGCCAGCATTAGTGGAAGCAGAGAATCGTCGGACACTGATCACATAAACAAGAACATCAAAATCGAAAACAACTGTGTGCCTAGTTCCTCTTATCATATGGAGAAGTTTGGTCCTTGAATCTTTGATATTTAATCTACCCATTTTCTTTATTTAAGTTTCTGTTTTTTTTTTTTGGGTTTATTTCTAAGTAAAAAAAAAGTCATGTCGTTGTTTCCCAAAAACTGATCTATGTTAATTATATGATAAATTTATAAATGTTTAGATGTATCCAACAATATGCTCTTGAGTCTTGATATGTGGTGATATATTTTTTTTTCCTGGTTATAAGTGAGACCTCAAGCCAAAACTAAAATTTCAGATCTTTAAAAACATGTACAACAAATACAATCAATAGAAATCGTAAAAATCTCGTTACAACATATGCTAAGCTAGCATAACGATGCCACATGAACTTTTTTTTTTTTGAAAATTTGGATACTCTTAGAATCAATGCACTTATGGTCGAAATGTTTGATATTTTTTGTTTTTTATGTTTGAAGAAATTATTTTAGGGGCATTGATTTTTGATTCCAGGTTTTAAGATTATTTTAAAATATAATAAAATATAAAGTTATAAACAGGCATCCATAGTAAAACAAACCGAATAACTGACTAAAAAATAAACAAACCGAATAACTTCGTGTTTTTTTTTAAATTTTTCTTTGTTTCATTGATAAAAATCTCATAAATAAAAGCAGATTAGCAAACCAAAAAATATTAACTATTACTAGTTAAGTATAAACATAACAGATAAAATATTTTTAATTTTGAAATAAAATTTCAGAGCAATGAATGACTAAACCTTTTGAAATTTTAATTATTTACAAACTTAAATTTACTAAGAAAAAATAATTATACTAGATTCTACCTTTTGCGTTCGCACGGAAAATTTATTTTTTAATCTAATTTTATAATGTAATTTGTGTTTTTATAGATAAATTATTTTCTAATAAATGACACAAATTTATTTTATGATAATATGAATGGATATGGTAGAATTATATTTTTATATTCATGGTCCTTTTCGGATTAATCGAATAGACGAGTTAAAATTATGTTTTAATAATCGTGATCAACTTTATTAGAAAAATAAATTTAATAAATAAATTTTAACCAACTTTATCTATAAAACACAAATTGTATTATAAAATTAGATTAAAAAATAAATAAATTATTTGTGCGGACTTACGGAGTAGAATCTAGTTACTAATTATTTTCTTATTATAATTTTCTTTTTTTTTTTGCTAATTTGTTGTAGCTCTTTTTTACAAAGATGTCTGAGAACAACTTTAAAAAATCATTGTGTGGATATAAAAAAAGAAAGCTAAACAGAAAAGAGAAGAAGAATAAGAAAAAAAATCTCAAGTGAATGCTTTATTCAGGTACTTCAAAAAACCTAAAACTCTTGATAAATCTATAAAAAAAGATGATGAGTATCCTGGTGTTTTTGGAAATCGAGTAGAGAATGCGAATGCGGTGAATGAAGATGACTTAAATAAGAAAAATGATATAAATACGCTAGATGAAGATAATTTGAATTAAAAAAGTGGATGTAGTGAATGAAGAGGGTTTAAAAGAAAAGGAAGATGAAGATGAGGATAAGAATGAATATGAAAAAGAGAATGATCTGATGGAACAGTGTGGATTGGTTTTATATGGATTTGAGATAATGAGGGTCTTTCTTTTAAGCTTGCTTATGGGCTTGAAATCTCTAGACATGGCTCTAGGAACAGTCAGATGAAACATTGGCCTCTAACTTCCAAACTTTTGTCGAGGTTATACATGAATATTTTGGCCCCTTAATTAAAAAAAATATTAATATTTTTTCTTAAATTATGTATGCCTTTCTGACCTCCAAATTCTCAGATCCGACACTAGTTATAGTCTCAATCTTACTGCATTATGCTTTTAACATTGACGGTATTACACTCTTTAAATTTTAATATTATGTTTACCTCCATCAAATATTACATAAAGATTTAACCTAAAGATACGCATAATACTTTTGAATGCCTATATATACATTTCTTTGTCACTCATTCACATCACCAAATTACAAAAAATAGTTCTATACCTATATAGTGCTCTTATAGTAAAGAAGAAAAAAAAAGGTCTCAATTACCAATCTCAGTTCATTGGAACCTTTCAAAACTCAATGGAGAGAGCGTGTAAGAATCTGAAAATGTGGAAGCAGTATTTGAATAGTATTGTATTGAGACTCTAGAATTGATCGTCGTTGATGAAAAGGTACTTTTACTTTTTACTTTAAAATTTTATTTTTTAAGTATGATAAATAGTGCAATATATGTGACACCTTACAATATCTTCATATACAAAATCAAACAATGCATGCGTCTATGAAAAAGGAGTTCATTAGAAAATATGAGAATTTGTTGGAAGAAGGGATGACCAAAATCTTTACCAACTTTCAGGTCACACATAATGGTAGAAAATTCAGGAAACATCTCATATTTACAAGATCCAGTTTACCTTCACTATCTCAGTGAAACCAGCTGAATATTGCTTTTCCTTCTGCCTCCAAACATGATAAAGCTTCTATTAGTGTTGCAGCACCCCAAAATTTTGTGAATCCTTGATGATCATAAGTTATCCAGCCCCCTACTACATGTCTCGTTTGGAGGTTATACACTGCATATCGAAGTTACACTTAAAGGATCCAATAGTAGGTCAATGCTAGGAACTCCAAACCACAATCAGGTAAGTTAGGAGTGTTATTATATTGACTACAGTTTTGTCCTTCTGAATTGAAGACCGTAAACCACTCCGCGACATCTGTTATTGCAAAATCTACATCCCTTTTAGATTTTACCCTTTTTATTGAAGATAAGCTCATTTCTAGCTTTTCAAATCCTCTTTAACCAAAGTGGCAATAATTTTTGATGTTCCATGAGGCACAGGAAAGATTGTAAATCTATGATCTTCTTAATATTTCCTTCAAGGTTTCTTGTAAAGGAAAGACTAGATAGAGGCAGATTTGAGATTCACCAAGTCGATACTGATATAGGGCAGGTAACAGCAAGTGGTTTATTGTTTCAGCCTCCGAAGAGCATCGTTGGCATGTCTTATCTAAGCAAACACCTCTGGAGATTAGACTTGTATTTGTCCCTAGTGCTCCAGACAACACTCTCCAAATAAAATGTTTGAGTTTTTGCATTATTTGAAGGCTCCATACCTGCGTCTTAAGTAATGGATCTCTGTTAGGAATTGGTAGAGGTGCACCTACATTCTCAAAATTTTGGTGATGTCGTCAAAATCAATAACCAGATTTGACTGTGTATGTACTATTTTTGGAATAATTCCATATCAACTCGTCCTTGGCAGGAATTTGGCTTATGTACAAAGAATGGGCTAATTCCTTATTCTCATTAGAAAGAAAAGTGTCTTTAAAGATGCATGATAACACCGTATTTTGACTACTTTTATGGGTTATTTTAAAATGCTTTTCTAATGATTTTATTTCTTTTAGGTGTTTTTATTATCGTTTTCTAGTATTTGTAGTCTCAAGACTCTTTTCAGGAAATTTAGATAAAAGCTTTGCAAAATAGATAGAAAACCAGATTTTTAGCTCAGAGTCAAACCGTCATAAGTTCACCCTCAAATGAAAACCTTTTCACCGTCTGATACAGCTCAAATTTGGAGATCTTAAAGATGGATCAGCTAGATGTCCAGCACACTTGACATGAGGAAAACTCAATGGTTCAATCAAAAGTTATGCAAAGATCAAGTAGTCTAGTCAAACAGCCGACCAGCCATCCGGACCGCAGCCAACACATGATTTACCACGACCAGAGAGCTCCTGGGCGCCGAGAATCAACGTCTGACCACAGAAGCCCAATTTAAAGCCTATTTGATTCATGTCTTCAAAGAAATCCTAAGTGGTAATGAAGCATGCCTTGAAGACCTATAAATACCTGTTTTAAAAACCCTAAACCGTGTGCTAATAGTTTTTAGAATACTTTAGATTGTTTCTCTTATTTCCTTAGTTTGTTTTAAGTTTTAAGGAGATAAAGATCTATATCTTGAACCCTTTTTTATTTCTCTTTCAATATCGATTGCTTTACAGTTTTCTTCTATAATATTTTTGGTTTTTTACATATGTCTGAGTAGTTTACTTGTTGAGTTTAAGGAAATTTTCAATGGGGATCAATACGTTTGATGAAGATTGCATGAGCTATTAAACCGAATCCTAGAAATTTTTCTTCTAAACTTACTTTGAATACATGAGAGTAGCGTCATGAACTATAATCTGATATAGATATATAGTGTTGTGAGAGTTTTCATTATTTGCTAGATCTTGTTTGAGAAGTGCAATTCTGCCATAGGAGATGAAAGCTACCTATGGATGAGTTGTGATCAATGTGGATGAGTCTTGTTCAAAACATTGCGTGCACCTGTTACTGGGGCCAGAGACGAAAGCTACTGGTCAGGATCGTGGACGGTAGTTGGTTATGATGACGAAAGTGACTTAGTCATACAACCGTGCTCGAGTTCTAAAAGTTTTAGCTAGGATCTCTTTTTATTTGCTTTTTAGCATGTTTTGAATCGTTCATACCCCGGAGATATTCCCAAACAAAATTAAACATATCTCTACCACAAAAATCAAACTAACATAGAAAGAAAATCTAACAGAAAACGAACCATAACAATGAATTCAGGCAGGAGAAAAAAAAAACATCATTAAAAAATGAGGTTGACCTTAAATATCCTGTATGATATGAAATTATTCGATTTTTTTAAGTTCTCCTATTTCTAATTTGAATCAGAAAAAAGGAAAAGAAACCTAATGAAATATAAAAAATCGGGTTCGAACCGGTTCATTAAAATGACTTGGTTTCAACTTTTCAATTAGGACTAAACACAAAGCAGATAGCCGGGATGATATCCATGATTTGCTCTGCTCTGACTTTTATTGGAACTCGAATATCTGTTAAAATCTAGAGATTTGTTTAAATATCCAAGGGTTTTAGGGCGGCCCATATATCAAAAGTTTTAGGGGCAGCAATAAAAACCCACAACATTTATTAAAAAGTTATGTATTGTATTTAGTTTTGTCCCACATCGAGAATGTAGAAAATATATGAAGGAAAAGCTGCATTATAAATAAGATTTATCATCCACTCTTTACTCTCAGAGAAGTTGTGGGCCTATTATTGAGCTCGATTATAAATCAACGATTTTTTTACATACGAGATGCTTTGTTTTACATAGCAGAAAGCAGTGATAATCTAGAACATCATAGTGATGTTGAGTCTCTTGCAGCAAGTGAAATACATGGAATTGGAGGGTTTGAATTTGTGTTTGGAATGGTGATTTGGTATGATTTTCTTTATGCTGTCAATATAGTTAGTGAGGAAAACCTTGCAATAAGAGGATATGGATCTTGAGGTTGCTATTTTTCAGTTAGGAGGGCTTGTTGATTATTTGAAAGGCTATAGAGAAACAGGTTTCGAGAAAGCAAAAGATGAAGCTATGCAAATTGCCAATGATATGGAGATTGACCCAATATCTTCTATAAAACCAAAATGATTGATAAAAAGAGGAAGCAATATGGTGAAATGGCTGAGCGTGTAGATGAAAGAATCCGTTAAATGCGGAAGAACGTTTTAGAATTGATTATTTCATCAACATAGTAGATCAAGCGATAATGTCTATTGGGGTTAGATTTGAGCAATTCCAATGGTATGAGGAAATTTTTGGATTTTTATTTGGTTTGAAAAAACTAAAATCAGCAAAAATGATGAGTTGATGGCATCTGGTAACAAGCCTAAAATGCTCTAGAACATGATGGGGTTTCAGATATAGATGGAACACATCTATTTATGGAACTATAATATCGAAGAGGAAGGATGCCAGCAAAATACGATAAGGGCCATCGAGATTTTAACTTTTTTTAAAAAAGAATGGATGATATATTGTTATCCAAGCACATTGATAGCTTATCGCATATTACTGATAAATCTGATTTCAGTTACTTGTGTAGAAAGAAGCTTTTCAAAGTTGAAGCTCATAAAGAATTATCTACACTTGACTATGTCTCAAAAGCGATTGAATATATTGTCAATGATATCAATTAAACATGAGTTAGCTGAGAATCTCGATTATTCGAAGCTAATAGATGATTTTGAAGGAAAAAAACTAGGAGGATTATCTTTTATAAGTAATGTATTATTGTTGTGCTACTTTATCATTTTCAAAACAAATTATGTTTTAATGATATTTTACATTATTTTGATTATATATTTTAAAAATATGTTGTAAATTTTTTTTTGTTCTGATTAAGTACATTATTTTTAAGGTGTGTTTTAGGCATCATATGACTTTGGACTGACCTAGTTCTGACAAAAATGATGAGATTTTGTAAGGTTAAGATAATTAATAAACTAATTTTGAGATGGAAAACAATTATTGATTTATTGAATATTAATTTTTAGATCTTTTGCTATAAACATGCTCCGATATAAATGTTCTAAAATGGGTCTCAGAATATTATGGTGAGAATTTGAGTAAAGTCAAGTCCAATTTAACAAACAAACGGAAAACGTACCCTTAAGAATTGAAAAAGCCGAAGAAACCACATTTCAGATTAAACGAATTATTTTACTCTGCAATAGTTGAATCAAGGTTTAGTCCGGTTTATATTCAGTTTAGGAATACCAAACAAACTCTTACAAAAATCTTCTTCAACCTCCCATAAACCCAGAAAAAAAATTCTCCGACGAAACTTTTCTCGGGAAAATGACGGAATCTTGTGATCTCATGTACTCTAAAGCAAGGGGAATTGTGGAGAGCCCAAGCGACGAAGGACTAGCGACTCTTGTCGATCAACTCTTCATCAACCGTAAAGATACCGATGAATACAAAACAGCCAAGGCTCTGTTCGATCTCTGCTTCAAAACTTTCCAGGACGGCTTAACCCGAAAGCTTCTCATGGTGTATCGAGATTCTTCCATTAAAGTCTTGAGATTACGATCGATCTTTCTCATCTCTCAAAATCTCAAGATCGAACTCTCTCTCGACGCTCTCCAGGAAATCAAGCCAATTGTGATTTCTTGCCTTACAAGGCAAGAACACAAAGGATATCATGAGGCCAAGATCTTCGGAACCATCGTTTCTTTGGTGGCAAACAATGTAAAGACGTTTAACAATGGAGGATGGGACGAGCTCAGCGACTGTATTCTCTCACTCGCAGGTACACAACCTCTCAAGGCTTTCCATGTCTTCCTTGGTTTGCCACCGATCAAGAACTGGGAATTTCTCAACCGGTTTAAGCAGAGAGTTGTAGTGGAAGCCGAGAAGATGTTGGCTGATCCTGATCAAGAAGAATATTGGCTTCTAGCTTTAGAGACTATAGCTAAAATAGGGGTCCAGGTGTTGAATTCTGAAGATAGATATGAATCGGTAAAGAGTAGTATTCTCACCATTCTTGTCAAGTCAGCAACTGAGCTAGAGAAGATCAACGGAATGAGACAAATTCTGCTTCGAGGTCTCGAGAAGTTCCTGTCACGAGACAATAACCTGTATAAGTACAATGAGGATCAATACCGTTTTGTGTCAGAGTTAACTTCAGAATTGGGAAAACGCAGCTTTGAATTCTGTCCTTGTTTCGTTCAAACACAAGAGAATTTTTCATCTAATCGTTTTGGTTGGGATGAAGGGAGTAAATATTTGCAGAGCTTGTCGTCATTACAGATTTTGGAAATGGTGGTTTCACAGAAGCTTCATGTTCTGGACCAAGAATTGGCAATCAGAATGCTCAAGGTCTTACTCTCTGATCACACTACAAAGAAGGCAACAATCGACATTGAAGTGATGAGAAAACTCCAGCCGTTGCTCATCTCTTGCCTTGGGAAAGAAGAAATCCCCGAGAACACGTTCAAGATCCTCGGCCAAGTTGTGCAACATGTTGCAAAAGAGATCATCAACGTCCAGGAGGACACATGGGAAGATCTACGTGACTATATTACATCTCATTGTCAGCAAACAGAGTTCACTAGAGGATGCTACATCTTCAGGTGCTTGAACATGCCCCTTGATGAAGAAGACTTTGTGATTCCTGTGATGGAGAAACTTCTCCCTGAGATAAGAAGAATGCTAAACCCACCAAGAAAGGTGTTGGTAGATAACTTTGGATGGGTCTTGGCGTTTACAGGTGCCTTCTGTGCGATCATTCACATGGTAGAGATTGAATCTCACGCTGAATCTGTGCAAGAGATTGAAGACAAGATGATAGAGTCAGTGACACATCTTGTGGGAAGAAAAATGGAGATTGGGATTGTTAGGAGAGCTTTCAAAGATATGGAAACAATTGTCAAGGAACAACTGGAATGGTACAGTTTAGATGAATTCACATTCGTTATGCGTCTGCTTCAGAGGCTTCTCACAATCCAAGGCATGAGAAAGGATAGTAAGCTGCTGTTGATGGGAATCAACTTTATGGTTGAAAGGGTATTGGTTAACCGTGGGATAGTTCACTGAAGATGAGCTTCTTTTGCTGAACCAACCTGAGGCTTAGGGGTTGTATAATCTGAGAAATTTCTGCACAAATTAGATTTTTGCTATATATTTTTATCTAGAGTTTTTAGCAGTGAACTGTTTTTAAAATTACTTCACTCAAAACTTCTCCTGTCTTAACTTTGGAAATTACCTTACCGTGCTTACTTTCATTCACTAAGAGACTTCATTTAATTTATCCAACAATTTTCACCCACTATAAAATAATCAGTATCATCAACTCTTGTATACTACTAGATGAATACCCGTGTATATACACGGGTCTTTTTTCAATTAATATTTTATAAGTTAATGTATTAACTATTTTGTTTTTTTTGACCGTGCACTCCATTAGTAGGCTCCATGATCCTTTCGTTCAACACAGCTAGTATGTTCTTAGTTTCTTCAACAATTCGACCATTTTTAACTCTTCCATTTTCCTTTTTTTGTGATTCTTTCTTGAGCTTTCTCTGTGCATTTCTTCTCAGACTTACAACTCTCTAATTTCTCCCATATCCTTCACCAATTCTAGTTTCAATTTAGCAATTTTTATTTACAAATTATTTCAAAAAAACATTCATTTGCAATTCGTTTGTCGTTTTCTTTTGCTGATTGTCTTTCTCTCTCATCTCCTCATTTTCTCAATTTTCCTCACTCTCAAAACTCCAAATGTTCTTTCTAAACTGATCCTTAACTCTCTTCTCATTCTCAGCTCTTGCTTTCCTAAAATCTATGCTTCCTCCTCATAGCTCTCAAACCTCTAACAAGTGATGCTTCATTTAAAAGAATTGTCTAAATAACTGAGTCAGAACTAACAAATTAATATAATTATGATAGAGAATGAACCAGAAGAGAAAGTAAAAATTAATTTACGTACGTACTGAACATAGTGGAGGATAATTCAAAGCGAATTTCATATTCATTTTGACAGATGTAAAGTTTTTACCTGTTTTGAGTTGTGGACATGTTTTTTTTTTTTTTTTTTTACCAAAAGATATGTGAAACACACAATAAATAAATCCAACTTCAAGAATTAAAAATTAATCTGAGTAGAAGTTTGACCATCAAATAAGAATTTGAATTTTTTTTTTGGCTGATGTATCAAAATTATAGATGCTGATGTGTCAAGATTGTGAGACACAACTCAACTTTTATATAATAAATACATAAAAAGTAAAAAATTTGTAATTTATTTCTAGTTTCTTTTTTCTTTGGTATGATGATGAATACAGACCTAATTATGTATATATATATATATATATCTACATATATATTTTTCGTTATGAATTAGTCACATTGATATAATCATTTAGATGTTTCATAGAGCTAGGAAAACGAAAACTTGTGAAAAGTGGATCATAAATACAAAAACAAAAATGGAAACCATAATTTCCGGCCTATATGTATTCATCATGATGTGTTCTTTCGTGATTATTTTTGTATAACACTTCTAAAATTGTGATAAATTTTAATAAAGCAAGATGTTAAAAAAAAACTACATCATAACTCTTATATCTTGTGGTAATTATTCTAGTAAAAAAAACATTCTAACCTAAATGTAAAGTGAATCAAATCATGAATTTGATTTTGCACTTGGATGAAGCTATCGGGATGAGGTTCATTAGGTCATTGATGAGTGGCAAGTATTTTTCTTGCTGATCAAGTACTTGAAACCCAATTTCCACGACTTCAAGTCTCCTCAAGTTGATCAAGAAATGTTTCATTTGTTTCAGTTCTCCACAACTTCCTCCATAACCATATACCTTTAGCACCTTTACTGGACACCACGGTAAACAACAACCCTTCTTCTTCTTCTTCGTCTCACGTTCGCAAACACATACATCCCCACATCCTTTTGTAATCTTGTGCACAAGACCCTGAACGAGAATGAAACCATTCAAGTTTTTTAAGAAGTATTAATCTACTTTAGCTTGTTCGTTTCCATACCTTGATGATTAGAGTTTCTAGCTTTGGAGAATTCTTGAGCAGATATGGAACTATTTGCCAACTCCGTTCACTATGGCTCTCAAAAGATAATGTAAGGAGGTTGTTGAAATCCGGCAGAGATCTACAGCAGAAATAAAGCACCTGAATTGATCAAAGAAACAAATTATTAAAGTGACTAACACATAATGCAATCAGTGAATGAATCTATAAAATCATGACCTCTAGACAATCAGCAGACAAGTGAAGGGTCACAACGTTTCTTATCCCTGCCATGAGTTGGGATGCATCACCCCAATCCTTTTCAATATGATCACAAATTGCATGCAATACCGTGTGATACTTCCATAATCGAAGATCAAGTCTAGCTTCAAGAAGCGAATCCAGTATAACATGATAATTCTCTATGACATAGCCAGAGTAATCAAGGTACAAAAGAGTAGGTGTCCGAATGGCAACCATTGAGTGCTCGTCTCTTATGAGAGAACGGTGAAGAATGGTTATTCTCTTGATGGATGAACTGCAAACCCATCCTTTCCAACTCGATTTAAAAGGATCTTCATCGCACACATTATACTCCTCAAGCACAGGGCTACTAAGTAGGAGCCATTTATACATGCCATCATCTCCAAACCTAGCTGAAATGAGAGAGAGTGTTTTGAGTGCAGGGAAATACACATCGGTGGGATGTTGAATCCTCTCTTTGAAATAACATTCTAGAGATAGAGTCAGCTTAACCAGTGTCTTGCTCGAGAACAACTTAGTCTCTATACACCACTGACTGATTGATGATGTCAAGTGTAGTTCTAAGATTCCACGTTGTAACGCATTGTGAATCAGCCCGTTGACACGAGGCTGATCGATCTCTGATTCCCATTTCAATGAGAATTTCTTGATGGGGGAATCTTGAAGCAGGACAAATGTTTTCTCCACGAAATCAACGAAGCCTTGATGACCATGAAATCTTGTAGCTGATTTTGTGGTTGGATAAAGGACCATGGACTCATCGAAATCGAGGTTGTGCATGAGGGGCAACAGATTCCTCCATCGCTTTGAGAGAACTGATGTGGAAGCAGCAAGCTTAGTAGGGAGCAGAGACAGAATTTGGCCTAGAACCTCGTCTGGTAGGTTGCTGATTGAATCTCTACAGCAAGTTTTCATTTTTTGTTGGCAGCCTTTTGCCACAGAAGTTGAACCTTTTTCTTGTTTTATCTGCAAACCAAATTGTTATTTAGAGATTCAAGATATCAACAAAGTCTAATAGATAACGCTAGTAAAACTCATTATTACAAGCCAAACCATAAACGGGTTCATGATCAAGAGAAAATTACATATCATGTTCAAACAGGGACAAAGAAACATATTCATTACAAAGCAAAATAATAATCGAATGTGGGATGAAAATCAACTACTAGAACAAGGAAACAAACTTAGAAACACACTGTAGCAACTTTGAAACAGAACCCTAACAAAAAAAATCGAACATATCTCAACAAAAAAAATCAAACTGACCTAGAAAGAAAATCGAACAGAAAACGAACTTTAACAAGGAATTCAGGCAGAAGAAAAAAAAACATCATTAAAATTTGAGGCTAACCTTAAATATCATGTATGATATGATATTATTCGATTTGTAAGTTTTCCAATTTCTAATTTGAATCAGAAAAAAAAGAAAAAAAAAACCTACGAATCGGGTTACATAATAAAACAAACAAATCCGATTTCAAACCGGTTTATTAAAAAGTCTTGGTTTCAAATTTTTAATTAGAACTGGACATAGAGCAGATATTCAGGATGATATCCACTATCTATTTTGTTCTATCTTTTATTGGAGTTCGAATATTCATTAAAATCTAGAGATTTGTTTGGATATCCGATCTGTTTTATACCAAATTAAAAATAAAAATAAAAAATAAAATTTTAAAATTTAATCCAAAAAGATTGTTTTTATTTATTTTTTAAATTTAACTATTTTAATAATTAATTTGATGAATAAAAGAATTATTAAATATATGTATATATATAATAATTATATATATCTATATATATATTTATATATACTATTTATATGTATATCAGAACGAATTGAATAATGAAGAAAGAGGCCGTAGAGTTTAGGTTATTTCCTAAGTTAACAATATTATTGAACCAGATTAGATCTTAATACTAGGATAAAAGAATAAATGATTTAACTCCAAAATTGATAATTTGTATAATTATGATTTATATAATCGATTATTTTATTTTATTTTAACTAGTAAATCCCACCAAAATAAATTAAAATCATAAAAAATCACTCTGTGAATTGTGAAATATTTTTGGTAATAGTTGATTTGAAGATATATTTTGATTTTTTTTCAAATCACACAAGTCCAATAACATTATATTTAAACTTTCTGACAAAAAAATAAGATAAAATAAATAACATTAGAGTAATTTCAGATATTTACATTTTAGAAAATTTCATATAGTTTATTCAACCCAGGTTATTGATATTTGGTTATTCAATTGCACAAAGATTTTATTCTATAATTTAAGATAATTTCGTAATTTAGTATATTTTTTCGGACATCCCACAATTAACTAGTGTTACCAATTGAAGCCCTAATGTTACAAATACAATGTAACACGTTTGTGAAGAAAAACTGAAAAAAAAAACAAATTAACCCAAACCCGGACAAAACATTACGATCCATCATCATCTATCCAATCAAATCTCGGGTTTGTGTGACCTGCAAGTGATTACTCGCGTCTCCTAAATCTCTCACGCTTCTCCTGATCTCCTCCTCTGCCATATTAACCCACCAACACAATTCCCAGTTTCGTCGACGACTCCTCACAATTCGATCCCCGATCTGATCCGATCCTCCTTAGATCAGGGCAAAACAATGGCGGAGATGGCGACCATGGATCCAGAAGGTATGGACGGAGTTCGTATGACCTGGAACGTTTGGCCTCGCACTAAAGTCGAAGCTAGCAAGTGCGTGATCCCACTCGCCGCCTCAATCTCACCGATCCGTCGTCACTCCGATATCCCTTCCCTTCCTTACGCTCCTCTCAAATGCCGGACCTGCGAGGCTGCTCTCAACGCCTTCGCTCGCGTCGATTTCACCGCCAAGATCTGGATCTGCCCTTTCTGCTACCAGCGGAATCATTTCCCTCCTCACTACCATATGATCTCCGAGAACAATCTCCCCGGCGAGCTTTATCCTCAGTACACCACTGTGGAATACACGCTTCCGCCGACCGCCGGTGCTGGTGCCGGACAATTCGATCCGAGAACCGGCGCTGCTCCGCCTCAAGCGCCTCCTCCTGTTTTCGTGTTTGTTCTCGATACGTGTATGATCGAGGAGGAATTGGGATTCGCCAAATCGGCGCTCAAGCAGGCGATCGGGTTGCTTCCGGAGAATGCTTTGGTTGGTTTCGTGTCGTTTGGTACTCAGGCTCATGTGCATGAATTGGGTTTCTCGGAGATGTCTAAAGTTTTTGTCTTTAAAGGCAACAAGGAAGTCTCCAAGGATCAGATCTTGGATCAGTTGGGGCTTGGGTCTTCCTCGAGGAGAACTCCTACTTCTGGGTTTCCCAAAGGAACGCAGAACGGATTTCAGAGTTCTGGTGTGAACAGATTCCTCCTGCCTGCTTCTGAGTGCGAGTACACACTGGACTTGGTGAGTAATTGGTCAATAGATTTGTGCTATCTTCGTTTTCATTTCACTTGTGTTGGATTTGAACATGGATTTTGAACATTGTGTGGCTGATGTTTGCTATGTAGCTTTTGGATGAGCTGCAAACAGACCAGTGGCCTGTTCAGCCAGGTCATCGTCCCCAAAGATGCACAGGTGTGGCATTGAGTGTAGCTGCAGGATTGCTTGGAGCTTGCTTGCCTGGAACTGGTGCTAGAATCGTGGCTTTGGTCGGAGGTCCATGTACAGAGGGCCCTGGAACGGTTAGAGCTTGTTGATTCTTCGGTTGAGTTTCATCGCATCGTAAATGTGAACCATGTTTGTTATAATCTGAATAAAATTTTCGTTCTTTTCCTTTACAGATTATTTCAAAGGATTTATCAGATCCTGTACGCTCACACAAAGATCTTGATAAAGATGCTGCCCCTTATTATAAAAAAGCTGTCAAGTTTTATGATATTATTGCAAAGCAGCTGGTCGCCCAGGGTCATGTGTTAGATCTTTTCGCTTCTGCACTTGATCAGGTATTAATGTGTCGTGATTTTATTTTGCTTGATGTCCAAAACTATGGTTTTCTTCTTCATGTATGAATGTGTAGTTTTTTTTTTTTTTTTTTGCTACGCCATGTCCAAAACTATGATTTCTCAACATTGTTCTTCATGTATGAATGCCATCTCGCATTAACTCCCTGAAAGTGAGGTTTAGGGTGTCATTGTCTTCAATATGGATTGGATTCCGAGTTACTAAATTGTGTGGCGAAGTCGACATTGTTGATGCACACCAGTTGTCAAAGCTCTTACTTGTACTCAAGTTGTTTAATTAACCTGTGATCACCAGTTTCTACTCTTCTCATCGGATTAATTTCGCAGATATTAGTGGTTGTGGATGAAAGCGCCCATTTGTAGATAAATCTTTACATATATTTTTGAAATCTTCAGTGGCAATTTATATGCTCTTTTTGGAACACCCTTTTCGTAAAGAAATCGGAAATGGCTCTTTAAAATTTCTATAATGCTTCAGGCCGTATCTGTCTGAAACTCCGGTTTTCTTTTTATTTTGATGTCCTTAGCTTCTTGAATGAATGGTATATAGTTTCCCTACCACATTTTCTTCTTAGCTTCAGTGTTGACAAGGCTTTGCTTCTTCTCTCTATCAAGTCATTCCATTTTGCTATCATTCTTCATCACAGAATTTGATACCTAACTATAATTGTCTCTGCTGTTGCATTTTGGGTATAGTTAGGTTGGGGTTGCTGAAATGAAAGTTGCAGTTGAAAGTACCGGTGGCCTCGTTGTTCTCTCTGAAAGTTTTGGGCATTCCGTATTCAAAGATTCCTTCAAGCGGGTGTTTGAAGACGGCGAACAGTCTCTTGGCCTTTGCTTTAAGTAGGTTTCTTCTCTGCTTCTGTGTCAATATTTTGCTATAATATATTCTGTTGAGTTGGTGTTGCAAGATAATGAGTATTTTGGCAATTCAAGATCCTTTCTTTTGGAGCATGATGCATAATACTGCTTGTATTGACGATAATATATACTTTGCATCCTCTTTTCGGAACTGACTATGAACCTTTCATTTTTAGTGGCATGCTCGAGATCAATTGTTCAAAAGACATCAAAATTCAAGGGGTTATCGGGCCTTGCTCATCATTAGAAAAGGTTATACCTAAGTTCTCGAAATCCATTTCTTTCAAGATGTTTCGTTTGCCCTTTGTAAATGAATATATCCGATATTAATTGATTATAATTTATTTTCGTTTTGAGCCTTGCAGAAAGGTCCCAGTGTTGCCGACACAGTCATTGGAGAGGGGAATACCACTGCTTGGAAGTTATGTGGCCTCGACAAGAGTACTTGCTTGACTGTATTCTTTGATCTATCCTCAACCGGGTCAAATGCTCCTGGAACTGTAAATCCTCAGTTTTATTTGCAGTTTCTCACAAGGTATTATGGCAGCTTTGGTTTGTCTCTTCGTTTTCCTTCATCGTTTTTTCTTAAATCTTTTACTTTTATCTTTAGAAGCATTGGATTTACTGTTTTTTACTGGATTGTAGTTACCAAAACCCTGAAGGTCAAACTTTGCTCCGGGTTACAACTGTAACCAGACAGTGGGTAGATACTGCTGTGAGTGGAGAGGTTCGTCGTTGTCTTGCTTTATGCATAGCTTGCCATCTTGCTTTCTGAATAACTTACATCTTTATACTCAATATCTAAAAGCGTCTTTATTTTTATGTAATCTTCTAGCTCTTTTCCGGTGGCATTGATTCTTAATTTTTGGTAGCATTGTTCATGCAAGGATTTAAACATGTTTTGGATAATAATACTTTGCCCCCACACTGAGCAAATGCAGTCAACATAGGTGAAAATCATGTGAAATTAAGTGAAAAGCTCTTGTTTTTTTTGGCTTTCAATGGGACTTTGCATTTTTTTTTCTCGGATAAAGTTGGTTGGTTAGGATAAACTGGATCCTTTAGATACTATTAACGTACAAGGTACTCTACTTCTGAATGCTTTAGTTTATATGATTTCTAATCCTTAACCTCCCATGTGCGACTTTTTTCCCTATTTCGCTGCAAATTCAAATTAAGTGAGTCTCAGAATTATGGTACTGGTTTCACGATTTGGAGTGTTGATGCAAGTACCTGCTTGATAGCCTTTTTTTTTTTTAAATTTCATTCTTGTCATGAAGTCAATGATAATCGTGGTTTAGGGTTATGTGCCATTCATGTAAATGTATTGTCTAACATTTTGTTCCAATGGTTGATGTATACATTTTCAGGAGCTTGTGCAAGGCTTTGATCAAGAAACTGCTGCTGTGGTCATGGCAAGATTAGCTTCCTTAAAAATGGAAACAGAGGTATCTTACATCATCTTCCCATTGCTTAATGTTTATTGTTGCTGCTGGGGTAAGGGGTTAAGCGCGTAGTGCTTTTGATGAGTTAAAAAAAGGGGTTTCCTTTCCTTGCCAAATTTTTTTACCAGAGGTTCAGGACCGTTGGTGTGTAGTTCATCTATATGTCCCAAGGAAGTCAAGTTTTTTTTTTATTTTTTTTTATTTTTTTTTTTTCACACAGCTGAAACACCTTTATAAAACAAAACAGTCGTATTATATTCAGCTTTCTACCAAGAGTTTGTACTTTGTAGTATGTGGGAGGCTCATAGTGAAACTACTAAGTACTACGGAATCCTGTCTTATTCATGTTCTTGATATAGTTTGGTCTACTTGTATTTTTGTGATAGTGTTGCTCACATATACAGTTTATCATGTATTACCTCAGGAAGGATTTGATGCTACTCGGTGGCTAGATCGGACTCTCATTCGTCTGTGTTCAAAGTTTGGTGACTATAGAAAGGACGACCCATCCTCGTTTACGCTAAATCCATATTTTTCATTATTCCCTCAGTTCATGTTTAACTTGCGGCGATCACAGTTTGTTCAGGTGAAGACTAATGTTTTTAGATTCATGATTATTCTCTGCCTTATGTAATTGGCTTACATACTTGAATCATGATTTCTATGGTGGTGTTGGAACGGTGGCAGGTCTTTAACAATAGTCCAGATGAAACCGCATACTTCCGCATGTTACTAAACCGGGAGAATATTTCAAATGCGACTGTCATGATCCAACCATCGCTGACGTCATATACATTCAATTCACCACCTCAGCCAGCTTTGCTGGATGTGGCTTCCATTGCAGCCGATCGAATTCTTCTATTAGATGCATATTTTAGTGTTGTTGTCTTCCATGGAATGACTATAGCACAATGGCGAAACATGGGTTATCATCATCAGCCTGAACACGAGGTAAAGCACGTTTCGAACGTGTAATCGTCTGTTTAGTTGCTTTAGCTTTGATTATCCAGAACCATCTTATCACACTTGCGTCGCTATAAGTGTGGAAATAGTACTTTAAAAGCTGTTTACTTCTAAATGCAAGTGAAATAAATTTGGTTGTAACAAGGTCAATAGTCTCTATCATGGTGTCTCATTTGTGACATCGTTATTCATTCAATAATGCTATACTAATAAACTCTTTGATGTCTCTCGTGCCAGGCCTTTGCTCAGCTATTGCAAGCTCCTCAAGAGGATTCCCAGATGTTAGTTCGGGAGCGTTTCCCAGTCCCGAGATTAGTTGTGTGTGATCAACATGGATCGCAGGTACATATTGTTTTACCTTTTGTCAGCTCGACCTTGATGATTTTTTTTCATCTTTTTGGGATTTGATCTGATGGTTTCATAAGTTTTATCCTCTAAACTCACACACCTTTTCACATGTAAATCCTGCAGGCAAGGTTTTTATTGGCAAAGCTGAATCCATCAGCGACATATAACAATGCAAACGAGATGTCGGCTGGGTCAGATATAATCTTCACTGACGATGTTAGCCTGCAAGTCTTTTTTGAGCATCTTCAGAAACTGGCCGTGCAATCTTGAGGGAATGTAGTTACAGTCCCGGGTTTTTTTTTTTTCGCTTAAATTATCCAGTCTTCCTTTATTACATGCCCGTCCGTTTGTACCAATTTAGAACTCTTCGATTGTTTATCTTGGTCTCCCATAAAGATCATGGAACGCATAGTTGAAGTCTTTTATTTGCATTGGATTTGCCCGCATTACAAAGAAGTACTGTTTATGTTTTTTTTTTCTTTTTCTTTTTTTGGGATGAAAATCTTGTAAGATCAATATTGGTTTGAGTCAATGGCTTAGTACTCTTGGTTTTGGACATTTTTTGAGCTTCCACTATGTTCTTTTTTAACCTTTTTTTTTGCTGAGCTCTGAACCCAAATAAGTAACACTGCAAGTCTGCAACATTGGCTTCCGATGTTACCAACTATGCAGCAAATATGAGAAAATCTGTATAAGCACAGCCAGTGCTGTGGTTTAGAGCTCCAAAATGAAACAGAAATCGAGCAAAAATATTTCTTCTGTTTTGAGAAACACTTGAACTATGTTCTGTTCCAAGCAGGTTTCATTTAAAATCTTCCTAGGAAAACTTCGGTATGGGACTAAGGTTTTGTCTTAGTGCCTGTTTAAATCTGCTAAGGCTGGTGTTTGCTTAAGTTCTTTTATACAAAGAGGAGCTTTTCTCCACGAACTTCATCTTGGAGTATTGGTTTGGGTCTTTGGGAAGTTTTGAATTGTCCTGGTTAGTTTTGCAGATCGGTCAAGCAGAAAGAACTCTTGGTGTCTTGGTCGCGGAAGCTTTTGGCCACTCGATCTTGATTCTTGAGTATGATGATGAATTCTATGCTCAGCTTCCAATCTTTCATATCGAGCTACAACCAGGAACCTTAGAAATCTGCTTCTCCTTCATCAACTGCCTCAAACTCTCAGCTTCATCAAACCGACCTGTAGCTGAATACAATCCAGCCAATGTCACATAGTAACCAGCTTTTCCTGGCTCAAGCCGAATCAGCTTCCTCGCCACTCTCTCTCCAACTTCTACATTCCCATACACCTTACACCCACTCAAAACCGCACCCATAACCGCCTCGTCAGGCTCCACAGGCATTTCCTCCATAAACCTCTCCGCTTCCTCAAGAAAACCAGCTCGAGCCATACAATCCGCAACGCTAGCATAGTGTTTCAGCTCAGGAACTATCTTACACTCCTGCATTTGTCTCAGATACATCCAAGACCTTTCCACGAGCCCACCATGCGCACAAGCCGATAAAACACCGAGAAAAGTGACTGCATTGGGTTTAATCCCTTCCTTGAGCATCTCCTCAAAGAGGTTTATCGACACTACACCGTCTCCGTCCAAGCCATAACCCAATATAAGCGAGCTCCAAGAGATCACGTCTTTTCTCTGCATATTCACAAACACTTTACGCGCACATGCCATGTTTGAGCATTTCACGTACATATCGGTTATAGCGTTTCCGAGATTCAATCCCAAGCAAGAGCATCTCCGGATACACCATCCATGAACACTCTTCCCATGCTTCAACGCTCCGAGCTGTCCACAAGCCGTAAGTAAACTCACCATTACCACAGAATCAAGCGAGAATCCAGAGCACATCATCTCTCTGAACAGAGCCAAACCCAAGATAGCTTCTCCTTGTTGAACATACCCACCAAACATAGCTGTATAAAGAACAGAGTCTCTCACATGCATATCATCGAACAACTTTCGTGCATCTGAGATTTTCTTAATATCAACATACATAATCACTAAAGCCGAGCTGACGAACAAACTCGCTCCAAATCCAAGTTTCAAGCTCAACGAATGAATCAAATCCCCGAGTTTCGCTTCTTCCGGTGACGCAGAGCAAGCTCGTAGAAGAAGAGGAAGCGTGAAATCATCTGGCCTAACGCTAGACTCACGCCACATACGAAGGAACAATCCGATCGACTCCGCCGCAAAACCCGATCTAGAGAACTCGCCGATGATTATGTTCCATGAGAAGATGTTGCGATGAGGCATGTGCCAGAAGACAGCGAGCGAGGTAGGGAAGAGGTGATCCAGCTTCGAGTACGCGAGGACGAGTTTGGAGCTGAGCACGACGTTTGAGTAGGTAGAGGTGCGAAGAAGATGAGCGTGGAGATGGCGTAAATGCTTAGCGTTTGGAGACTGGTGTAGAAGATAGAAGAGATCACGATTCTGTGTGATTCCTGACAAAGCTCGAGCTATGAGATTCTTCGCCGGAAGAGAAAAGTAGCTAGAGGCAGTCGCTAAGTGCATCGCATCACAAAATCGCAGATAATCTCAAGGTTAGAGATGAAGTGCCAAAAAAATTAAATGAAATTAAATTTTGAAAATAAAATAAAATATTTGAAAATTTGGTGAGAGAAATTTAGATTTTAGCGGAGAGATCTCTCTCCCGGTAAAAATTCGAATTTCTCAGTCGTCTCTTTAGCTCTCTCTCACACAAAATGTTCTTTCTAGATTCGCAGGAACAAAACTCCGATCATCTTCTCCATGAAGATGTGGCGGATTTCAACCGTCAATCTCCGTCGTCTCCGCCGTGCGCGAACGGCCACCGATCTACGATTTCTCTGCGAACCGACCAAGGAGGAACATTCTGCTTCCTCTGCTTCTCCAATCTCGTCTCCGATCCACGCGTCCCCACCGTACATCTCTCCTACGCGCTTCACCAGCTCTCGATCGCTCTCTCTGAACCTCTCTTCCTCCGAACCTTACTCTCCTCGCATGTTCACTTTCTCGTATCGCCTCTCGTCCACGCGCTTTCTTCCTTTGATGATGCTCCCATCGCTATTCAGATCATGGATACAATCTCTCTTCTCTGTTCCGCCGTGGAATCTTCCGTCGGCGAAGATTTTGTGGAGAGAATCTCCGCTCAGCTCTCTTCTGGTGCATTGGGTTGGAGCCGGAGACAGCTTCATATGGTATTGTTGCCTTTCTAGGGTTCTGATTTCGCATCTATTGGGGATTCTCGTTTAGATCTGCAAGTGCGACTTGTTTGAGCATGAAGAAGGTTGTTCCAGTCACTGAATTTGCCTGTTGATACTTCTCTGAAATCTCTCAATGTCTGTGTTCGCAGCTCCATTGCTTTGGCGTTCTGATGAACTATGAGAATATAGACACCAATTCGCACATCAAAGATAAAGAATCTCTTGTTTGCCAACTCGTTGAAGGTCTTCAATTACCGAGGTAACGTGCATAATGGAAACACTTGTTCTTTCTATCTTGCGTTGGCCTGTTGTGATTTATAACTGATTGTTATCTTCTTCTCTCATACCAGCGAGGAGATCCGCGGTGAAATCCTTTTCGTTCTGTACAAATTTTCTGCTCTACAGTTCATAGAACAAAATGTTGATGGAATTGAGGTTCTTTCTTCATTGTGTCCTAAGCTCTTATGCCTATCCTTCGAAGCTCTTGCAAAGACACAGAGAGATGACGTTCGCCTGAATTGTGTAGGTTCGTATGAGCTTTCACTTATTTGTTTCATTGTTTAACTCGTAGAGGTAGAATGACTTCTAATAATCATCTCCGATTGCTCTAATTCTTCTGCCTGGAACACCATGTCAAAAATTTTAATGCTTTTGATACAGTAGAACGTTTTCAATCTGAGGCTACCATACGTTTTTTTTAATTCTTCAGCTAACACAGATTTTGAACTTTGTAGCCCTTTTGACCATCTTGGCCCAGCAAGGTCTTTTAGCAAATTCATATACAAGTCCTGTCAGCAGCATGAGCTTGGATGAAGTGGATGATGACCCTATGCATACGGCTGAGACTTGTTTAAATGTCTTATTTGCTGAGGCCATCAAAGGTCCATTGCTTTCCACTGACAGCGAGGTGCAAATAAGAACCCTTGATCTTATCTTCCATTACGTGTCCCAAGAGAGTATTTCAAGCAAACAGATTCAAGTTCTGGTAGAAGAAAATGTTGCTGATTATATATTCGAGATAATGCGGTTATCAGGTAATGGCAGTCTCCTTGAATACGTGAGTTATATTTGTGATATATTTTGATGCATTGGGCTTCAATCAAGTTGTCACGTAATAAATCTTCTACTAGTATCTAGTCCTTCCAGTATAGTGGACAATGTCTGAGATTATTATACTGGAAAGATTTTATACTAGTGGAAGGTCAATCACATGTGTTTATATATCTGAGAAATATACAAACCTATCTTTCTGTGACATGCCAGAGTGAATACATATTGATGTGACATGCATTATTTCTGTTTGACTCCTCTCTTTCTCTCACTTACTGTTTTTTCCTCTAGTTGCTCACATCTGCACGAGCAGTAAGAGATAATTGTTTTAAGTATCTGACTGATGATCTCCTTTTCATGAACAGAATGTAAAGATCAGGTCATCAACTCATGCCTCAGAGTTCTTGATCTATTCTCCTTAGCCGAACATTCGTTTCGGAAGAAACTTGTAATTGGGTTTCCTTCAGTCATCCAATTGCTTCACTATGTAGGTGGAGTTCCTTGCCATCCTTTTCAAATCCAGACACTGAAGCTTATTTCGAGCTGCATTTCTGATTTTCCTGGGATTGCTTCAACTTCTCAAGTCCATGAGATTGGTCTGGTTATGAAAACGATGCTTGAAAGATATTATTCTCAGGAGATGGGATTATTTCCGGACGCATACGCGATTATCTGTTCAATCTTCGTTTCCCTAATGAAAACTCCTTCTTTTGCTGAGACTCCAGATGTGTTAACGTCATTGCAAGAATCCCTGAGACATGCCATTTTGGCCTGTCTTCGTCTCCCTGAGAAAGATTCATCCCAGATCTCGCATGCAGTCTACTTACTCAATGAAGTGTATGCATACTGTTCTGCACCAACATCCATAAACAAGACCAGTTGCATTGAGTTAAGGCATTGTGTTATAGACTTGTGCGTATCACACATATTGTCGTGGTTCCTCGCTAACGTCAACGAAATCAGTGAGGAAGCAACTCTTGGCATAATGGAAACTTTTCATTCCATTCTACTTCAGAATTCAGATATCCAAGTCGTGGATTTTGCGGAGATACTTGTTTCAGCAGATTGGTTCAGCTTTTCATTTGGATGCTTAGGAAACTTTTCTACGGATAAGATGAAACAGAGGGTATATTTGATGTTCAGTTCCCTTGTTGATGTTCTTCACAAACAGAAAACGGGGTCATATATCAGAGATGCTCTTCCCTGTCTTCCTTCTGATCCACAAGATTTGCTGTTTTTGCTCGGGCAAGATAGTTCCAGTAATCAAGAGCTGGCTTCTTGCCAGTTGGCAGCTCTGTTGATTTTCCATACCAGTTGGATACACAATGACAGGTAACTTACTTAGCCGTTTGAGTTTTAACGACGTTTTTGATGGACGCATTAAGGAGTTGCAATCTATTTCTTTTCCTTATATTCTTTTGCATCTTTTGCAGGCTTGCAGATGATAAGCTGGTTTTGGCTTCTTTGGAGCAATACATTCTTGTAAACAGGACAAGTTTAATACGTACGATCTCTGATTCTCCAGCTATGCTTCACCTAGTGAATCTATATAGTCTTTGCAGGAGTCATCAAAACAAGAGATACCAGATATCCTACAGCCTAGAAGCTGAGAGGATAGTCTTCCATCTACTAAATGAATATGAGTGGGACTTGGGTTCCAGTGATATTCATCTAGAATCTCTGAAGTGGCTCTTTCAACAGGAAGATATAAGCAAAAGCTTAACTTACCAGATCCAAAACATTTCCCGGAACAACTTTGTTGGAAATGAAATGCACAGTGTGTACGGAGATGGCAGACAGAGATCACTCACATATTGGTTCGCAAAGTTGATATCAGAAGGAGACAACTATGCCGCAACTCTTTTGGTTAACTTGTTGACACAGCTCGCAGAGAAGGAAGAGAAAGAGAATGATGTTATCTCAACTTTAACTCTGATGACCACAGTCGTATCTATATCCCCAACAGCCTCCGACCAGTTATCTATGCATGGCATTGGCAACGCAATTCATAGACTCGTTTGTGGTTTTACTAACTCATCCCTCGGAACATCTTTCACAACACTTCTTCTGCTAGTATTCAACATTTTAGCTTCTGTGCAACCTGGAGTGCTTAAAAATGATGATTCCTGGGATGCTGTATTTATAAAGGTGTGACGGCCTAAGACCTATTCTCGCCCAACATGTTCATTTTGATTTAAGTGCTCACTGAATCATCCTCTTTGTTTTGTAGTTGTTGAACTGTTTGAGCTTGCGAGAAACTGCCATAACACAGAACCATGACGGTATGGTGGTGATTGGCATTCTCTGCTTGGTTCTGTACCATTCATCATCTGGAGCACTTGTGGAAGCGTCTAGAAGTATTGTGTTAAATCCGTACTTGGTATCAGCAATCAACACTGTGGTTGACGTAGCTTGCTCAAAGGGTCCAGCACTGACTCAGTGTCAGGATGAATCTGACATCGGGGAGGCTCTAGCATTCACGTTACCTCTCTACTTTTTCTCATTAAGAAGGTAGCTTCTGAAATTTGTTCACACTTGCTAAACCCTACTTATAGTCTCTCTGACTCCGTTTTGGAATTGTAGCCTGCAGATTGTTCTAGCTGGAGCAGTGGATTGGCAAATTTTCTTTGCTCAATCGGGCAATCTTGAAACAACATTGCCCGTAATCTGCATCTATTGCCATAATTTGTGTAGGTTGATGCATTTTGGAACACCGCAAATCAAGCTCATCGCTTCCTATTGTCTTTTGGAGTTGCTCACTGGACTATCAGAACAGGTCGAAACTAAAAACGAGCAACTACGGTGTTCCCCGAATTACCTGAAATCAGTGAAGTCTGTATTAGGTGGTCTTGTATTCTACGATGACGTAAGAGTAGCGACAAACTCTGCGCTTTGTCTATCAATGATATTAAGATTGGAAGACATGGAAGGAAGAACGGAGATGCTTAAAACCAGCTCATGGTATAGGTTTATTGCAGAAGAAATGTCAGTGTCCTTGGCCATGCCCTGTTCAGCATCAAATACCTTTGTGAACCACCACAAGCCAGCGGTCTATGTAACCGTTGCCATGCTAAGACTCAGGAGCAAGCCGGTGTGGCTGAGAACTGTTTTTGACGAGTCTTGCGTCTCTAGCATGATTCAAAATCTGACCGGGACGAATATCAGCTGCGAGATTGTGATTTTGTTTCGAGAACTTATGCAGGCTCAGCTTTTGAGCTCCGAGCAAGCAGCCAAGTTGAATCGTGTATTCCAGGTTAGTAACGCAGATAAGGTTACACAATGCTAGGTTTGCATAATCAAATCGATTACATATCAATCTCATTGATGTTGCAGGCAAGCAGACAACAAATGCAGAGAAATGGAACTCGAGATGAGATCGTTGAAGAACAAGTGGAACAGACAATATCCTCAGTCCATGATCTTGGTGATGTCTGCAGTTATCTTGTTCATTTGATGGTATCTAATTCGTTTGGATACACGAGTGGAAGCGAAACATACACCAAGAAGAAGAAACAGGTTCTTGACGAAATGGAACAATTCTCTAATTTATTATCAACAAGAGGGAATGATGTTACTAATTCAACATTGTGTAAGGTCTATACAAGAAAGACAAACGCAAACAGAGCGAAATCGTGAAAGAAGATAAAGTTTCGCTGGTTACTTTTGTTAGTCTCTACATACAGTCTAGTGTTTGTTCTTCTGATTCTTAACCACAAGTTCCATTAAATACTGGTAAGTCCATGACTTAGATTCTTCGACTCTCGTACCAAGAACCTGGTTCTTCACTTCCTCACAGCTCCTAAGAAACCGTCCTTTCCCAAAAGCAGCATGAACCAAAGGGTCAGTTTTCGTTTCCACAGGCTTATCAAGAAACCCAATCTTTTTCCAAGTCATGAAAACTCCAGTACCATCAAACCCATCCACGCTCAAATCCAAGACAATTCCAACAGTGACAAGATCAAGCTTCACGTGTTTTGTCCGTAGCTCGGAGAGCAACAACTCAACGCTCCTGAAATCCCCCATCTTCGAGTAAGCTAAAAGCACGATATTTGCAAAAGTTGCATTCCAAGGAACTCTAGCTTCTTCCATCTCTTTAACAACATAATCCAAACCTTTTCTACTCACAAGACAAGCATGGCAGAGAAGCCTAAGACACCAAGCCAGATCGGTCCTACGAATGCCACGACCCAAATCATCGAGTCTCGAGAACATGAGGTTATCGATGTAAACATTAGCTACCTTCCTAACTAAATCCTCATCAAGAGATATCCCAAACCTTACAATCTTGTTATACGTATCCTCCATCTTTTCCAATACACCAAACTCTGCATAAGCTTCAAGCATTGACAACAATGTACATGGCTCAAGAGTCATCTTCCTCGACATCAAGCTCTGATACATCTGCTCCATTCTCTTAAGCAAGCCTCCTCTTGCAAACTCGCGTATGAGTAGATTGTAAGTCACATGGTCTCGCACACAACCATCAGATTCCATTTTCTTAATGCACAGAACAATCTCATCATACAATTTCCATTTACCGTATGCTTCAATCAAGCCGTCGTATGTCTCGGTTTCAGGTAACATATCATTCTCTTTCATATGATTCATGTAGAACATAGCTTCTTCGAACTTGCCATCATTTGCATAACCATGAATGATTGAGTTGTAGATTTCTAAAGAAGGGCTTAGCTCATGTTCATCAATCATACATTGGAAAGCTCGAATCGCTTCATTCATCGATTTTTCCTCGCATAAAAACCTTAAAATCTTCTCATAATTAGCCTCGTTTATTCGCGAAGGTTCTAGATTCTTCCACGCATCAAAAACCTGGAATTGAGAAAAAAAAATTAAAAAAAAGCCATCTTCATGTATTTCGTGAATATACAAACGGAGAGGAAATTTTAAGAAGTTACAGGAAGAATCTCGTGGAGTCTTGAGGAGTGACGGAGAAATCGAACGACGGCCCAGAATTGGTGTTTGCTCCAATCTCCATCCTCTCGAAGCAGCCGTAGAGGACACGAACCGGTACGGCTGAGCCGCCGCGGCAATGAATTGAGAAACCGGTGATGGTGGTGGTAGCTATCGGAGAGAAGAGAGGTGGATTGCGTCGCGTCGACAGACGACGAAGAGCAGCGGCGGAGAGAGGACGAGAAGACGGTAATAAGTTTAGGTCTCGAGTTTGGTGAAGTGAGAAACCTCGTGTTCGAATTCCACAGCGGAGGAGGTAGCTTCTGTAATTGCGCCGTGAGATTCTCCATGACTGTTTCTTCTTCTTCTTCTTCTTCACTGAGAAAGCTGGACCTGTAAATTAAGAATGAACAGATCCTCAACGGCGCCGTTTTACTTTGCTTCGGTTTAAGAGCAAAGAAACCGGTTAAGAACTTTTCGTTTTAGATTCGAATTGTATCAGTTCTCTTACAAACCTGGCTTTAACTGATAGCTTCCAAACCAGTTAAGATTTTTTTTTTTTTTTTAATATAATTGTTGATTCGGATTAGATCAAGTTAGCCTCTATAAATTGCATTAACTAAACCGAAATCGGTTTGGTGTAAGAATCCCACATCATCGACATTAGAACATCAGCAACGGTGGGTCTTAGCTCATTAGAACCAACGCATATGCACGAATCTTATTTTAATTTATATATTTTAAATATTTTCTATTGAATTTTATGTTTGTTATTAATATATTTTTATCTAAAATATTTATATTTTCTTCGATTTCTTCTTGATGATACTTTATATGTAATCTTTTTTATATCAGTTATATTAAATAGTCTCATTTTTTCTTCGATCTTTATATTCTTTTTATTTTAATAAATTTTACTAATATAACACTTGTTAATTTCTTAATTTATCATTTGATTTTTTTTTGTTATATATTTTATTGATTCCATCTTTTTTTATTATTTAAAAAAAAATCAGATGACATTTTTATATGGATACCTTTCTTTTTACTATTATTTTTTAATAACTTTTATCTTTTTAATCATTTATTAAATATGATTTGTGTTTTATAATTTTATTAGTTAAATTTTTATATAATATTATTTGAAACTTTTTAACTTATTTAGTCTCATAATTTTTTTTCACTTACATTAAAAACTAATTATTTTTTTAGTTTATAAATAAATTTTAAAGATTTTTTAAAAATAGAATTGTGCATTTAAAAAGTCTTTTATTATATAATATTTATAAGTTTTTATATGTTTAAATTAAATTTAATTTCATTCTAATATAAATATATATTAATATTTATTAATGTGATTTAATGTGTTTTAATGTTAAAATGTTTTAATATTTTTAATATGTTTTAATGTGTTTTAATTTGTTTGTTTTAAATATAATTAATTATTTATTTTATTAATGTTTAAAGATGACAGGTGGCGCTCTCTCCAGCGCTGATGTGTCACTCAACTGGAGAGAGTTGGCCAAATTTTATATATAAGATGCTTAGCTAAAAAAAAATGAAAATTGTAATAAAATGAAGCATCGATACTTAATTAAGATCCATAAGCATCGCTTCCTGGGTGTACGTAACGTACTTTTAGTGGACAGAAAGAAAAGAAGAAGACTTGTGTTTAATTTTCCCTTCTTATTTTCTCGAGTTCTAGATTTCTCCGAAAAAAAAACCGACGAATCTTCTCCACCGGCTCATCGTCATTGATGTCTTCTCCGATCGTCATCGAAATTTTTCCTGTCAGCCGAACTCGTATCATCTTCTCCGACCAGGTATATGTTATTATCATCGATTTCTGTATACAATTTTGTTGTTTTGATTGAATCGATTAAGTTAAGTTGAATACTCTGCATGCGTTTTGATTGAGTTGATTTAGGGTTTATTCTTCATGCGTTTTGGTGATTTGTGTTGGGTTTTGTGTTTTCTGAGTTTGAATCAAAAGCTTGAGTAGTTTAGTTTGGTCTGGGTTCTGTTCTGGTGTATATAGGTTGTTTTTCTCTGTATTTGTAAATCTCGGTTGAGTTGTGATTGATGATTGATATGTGTTCAATCATGGGTAATGAACTGTGTTTATTAATGAGATGTGTTTGAAACTGTATCATGATTACTGAAGAGTCTTTATGTGGGTTCGGAATTGTTATATGTGGATTCCGATTATCTCTTGCTTACACATTTCCTTCTAGTTGGTCATATACGGACTTGTATATATCGGTTGAGTTATTCTTTGTTTAGTTGCTCATTAGATTGTTTAGATTGGTATTGGTTATTTGTTTGGTAATTTGATATGGGTTATTCTTTGTTTGTCATTCTTTGTGGATCGGTTTAGTCATTCATATATGTGTGTAGGGTAATAAATGCATATGTGTGTAGAGTTTGAGTGTAGTTGTAATTGTTCATTGATGGTTTAAAGCTTGTTGTGGTAATTATTTATGGTAGATAAATGTCTAGTCGATAGTATTTAAGTCTATGTGTTTAATGAACTGAGTTGGTAATTGTGTGAGCTGAATTGTGTGTCTTGGTGTGTTTGATATTTATGTGTTAAAGTCTTTCAGTCTATGGGCTTAACCAAGTTTGTTTTCTCTTTGCAACATGTGAGCTTCGTTTGGCATATGGGAGGTTCCCAAGGCACGGCTGAGAGGTTCGTTTGGCAACCAGAATCTTTGAGTCTTGGCATTACAAAAAAAGGTATGTCATCTGTTTTCTTTGATATTCTTAAACGCTATGTTAGGTGGGAAGTATAAAAAACATTTCATTGATGGTAACTAAACTATAAAACTTAAAAAAGACTTCATTGATTGTGATGACAACTTAAAACTTAAAAAACACTTCATTACTCAACTGAGTTAAACCTTTAGTTAAAGCTTTAGTTAGATATCGAGGTTCATTGAAGTTAAAGCTTTAGTTGAAGCTTTAGTAGATATATGTCTACTCAACTGAGTTTAATACAACTTAAACTCAACTCCTCTTTAAACTGTGATCTCCAAAATCTCCAACGGTGCTCTTTTTAAACCCCTTCTTCTCTTCCTTAGTTAAAGGCATCTGCTTCTTTCCTTTCTTCTTCTTTAAACTCCAACGCTTATTCCTCTCCTCCTCAGTTTTCTTTTCATTCGCAATGGATTATTCTTCTTCAAATCCATTCACTCAAGCTTATAACTTTGTTGACCTCCTAAATAGTCAACAAGAACTTCCTCTCCATGATCCCTTTTCCTCTCAAAACCAAATCCCTCTTTTCAGCAGTCAATGCACCGTTGATGAGAGCCCTGAAGAGCGTAAAGAGAGAAAGATGTGGACTCCAACCGATGATGTACTACTCATTTCAGCCTGGCTAAACACGTCAAAGGACCCAGTGGTGGGCAATGAGCAGAAGTCTTGTGCCTTCTGGCAAAGGGTAGCAATATACTTGGCTGCTAGTCCGAAAGCTGCAGGGAGAGAAAAGAGAGAATCAGCCACTTGTAAGGCAAGATGGCAAAAAATCAATGACTTGGTGTGCAAGTTCTGTGGGGCATACGAGGCTGCAACAAGGCAGAGAGCTTCTGGAATGAATGAAAATGATGTGCTTAAACTCGCACACCAAATATTCTTCAATGACCACAAAAAGAAATTTACCTTGGAGCTTGCATGGCAGGAGCTCCGAAACGATCAAAAGTGGTGTGAGGTTTCTGCACAAAGAGCTGAAGGCGTCGGTAAAAGGAGAAGATGCAAGGAGGGTGAAGGTGAAGACAAGAAGAAAGCTGAAGAAAACCAAGGAAGCATCAGGCCACAAGGTGTGAAAGCTGCAAAAAGTAAAGGAAAGAAGAAAGTCGAGGATGGCAAAGGTTTCTCAGAGTTCCAATCAATGTACTTGCTTAAGGAGAAAGAAATGGAAATGAAAAGAGAAATTCAGAAGATGGCTCTTCTTGACAGCTTCATGGCCAAGAAAGAGCCCTTATCGGAGGTTGAAGAAGCCCTTAAAAAAAACTCATTCAACAGCTGTTGTAATCGGTTGTCTAAGCTTAAGTTCAATGCACCGGTTATGTTTCCCTTAAGTTTATGTTTTAGTTTAAGTTTTACCAGATGTTTAAGTTTAAGTTTTAGTTTAAGTGTTATGTTTAAGTTTATGTTTCAAACGTCTAAGTAGGATGTGTAATAGCTATGTATGTGTGATCATTGCAATGAAAAGCTATTAGTTATGTTACTATTTTACTCGGTTATTAACATTGGTTTGATAATAATTAACAGATAAGTTTAAAGATGTTTTCCAAGTGTTAAAGATGTATTCCAAGTGTACAAGTTATCAAGGGTAAGAGATATCTTGATTGTCTTTGTTTTTTAGATCATTATCTTTGGTTGATATTTGATGCTGATTGTGTTTGTTTTTATGTTTCAGGTATATGTCGACATTATTGTGGTGGTGGATGTCGACACTAAAGAGTGGGTGTGGTGTTTGTTACTTGAAGCAATTTTGTTTATTTCCTCTGTTTAAATTGAGTCCACAAACTTGTTGTGGTATATGTCGACATTAAAGTTTGTTTGTTTCCCTCAGACAATATGAAACCGTGTATTTTGTATTGGTAATTTGAGTCCACATCCTTTGTATGAGACTAAACCTGTAATGCTATATATATGTGGCCACTTTGTATCATATGTTATATCACATTTCTTCTCCTTTGTTCTTTCTTTTACTCAATCTCTTTTTTATCATTTGATCAATCTAGCTCAATCTCCTTTGATTTTGTTCTTATTGTTTTCAGTTTCCAAACCCAAAACCAAACAAAGCACAAATAATGGCTTCTTCTTCAAATAATAACCCTTCTTCTTCAAATAATAGCCCTTTTGATGAATCAATTTATCAAACTTTTGATGAATCAAGTTATCAAAATTATGATGAATCAATTTATCAAACTTTTGATCATTCACGTTATCAAACACTTGATCAACGATTTGATCAAAAATTTGATGATTACTTTGATCAGACTTTTGATAATTTGTGTATTGATTACCAAAAAAACATGGAGGCAAGGCAGTAAAAAAAAGACGGGCTTACATTGAAAGAGATCGGGAGTCAGGCCATACACGGTTATGGAATGATTACTTCAGTGAGAATGCAACGTACCCATCTCATTTGTTCCGACGCCGTTTTCGAATGAATAAGCCATTATTCATGAAAATTGTTGATCATCTATCCAACGAATTTCGATTCTTCCGACAAAAAAAAGATGCTGCTGGAAGACCTGGTCTCTCGGGACTTCAGAAATGTACAGCAGCAATTCGTCTCTTGGCTTACGGTACTGCAGCTGATGCAGTAGACGAATACCTCCGGCTTGGTGAATCTACGGCTCGCTCATGTTTGGAACATTTTGTTGAAGGAATAATATATTTGTTTAGTGAAAAATACTTAAGAAGACCCACACCAGAAGATCTCCAAAGACTACTTTATGTTGGAGAAAACCGCGGATTTCCCGGAATGATAGGAAGCATTGATTGTATGCATTTGGAGTGGAAGAATTGTCCCACCGCTTGGAAAAGGCAATATACACATGGTGCTGGAAAACCCTCAATCGTTTTGGAGGTGGTAGCTTCATATGATCTGTGGATATGGCACGCATTTTTTGGTCCTTTAGGTACCTTAAATGATATCAATGTTCTTGATTGTTTCACCCGTGTTTGATGATATCATACAAGGTAAAGCTCTGAAAGTGAATTTTTCTGTCAACGGTAGGGATTACAATTTGGCTTATTATCTCACTGACGGTATTTACCCAAATTGGGCTACGTTTATCAAATCTATACCACTTCCGGAGGGGGCAAAAGCTTGTAAATTTGCTAAATATCAAGAAGCTACCCGAAAAGATGTCGAGCATGCTTTCGGAGTCTTGCAAGTTCGGTTTGCAATTGTTAAAAACCCAGCTCTTTTTTGGGATAAAGTAAAAATAGGAAAGATTATGAGGGCATGTATCATTCTCCACAACATGATAGTAGAAGACGAACGAGTTGAAAAAACTCAATACGATCTTTCAGATTTCCAACACGGAGATGGCCACGGTAGTTCACATGTGGATCAGAACTATTCAACAGATATGCCTTCAAATATTGCTGATATGATGGGCACTCGAAAGAAAGTTCAAGATAAACAAGTACATAAACAATTGCAAGCTAATTTGCTTGAACACATTTGGCAAAAGTTTGGAGATGAAGAAGATTATAACTGATCGTTTATATGTTTAAAATGTATCAAAATCTATGTTTAAATTTTTTTTTTCTATATGTGAAATATTGTTATAATTTATGTTCTACTTAAATAAATAAATTTCTTTAAAAAATAATAAATTACAATTTTTTTTTTAAGCATCCCATTAGGGGTACTCCAATGGAAGCAACAAAATTCTCTTCTTCTTAATACAGATACTTAACTTAACTTTAATAATATTTAATAGCTAAGAATCCCAAAATGGGTTGCTCCATTAGCTTTCCTTATTTGTAAACCATAGCTAATATAATGAGTGTGTCATGCGATCAATTTCTAGACGCCATACGGTAGCCTCGTCTCTCCACTTTGTCTTTCACTCGCTTGGTTTGATTTCTGTGGCTAAGAAATCTAAAAATCTCAAGGGTTTCAATGGGCTTTTTTAACCGTCTATCGTCTCCTCCAAAAAAGAAAAGGAGTTCTGTTCGTTGTTTGGTGTAGTTTTACAGTTATAGTTTGATAACACCGTATTTGTATCCATTTCAAATTGATTTCAAATAATTTTTTCAAAAATTTTAATTAATTTTATGAACTTTTATTATATTTATAATATATTTGTAGTTTCAAAGCTTTTTTCAGGAAATTTAGGGAAAAACATGGCAAAATGGAAGAAATCAAGAGTTAGACCGTCAGAAGTCCAGCCTCAAATGAAGACTTTATCACCGTCTGATCCAGCTCAAATTTGTATATATTCAAGAGGAGACAACAAGTTTTCCATAGCACTTTACATCAGGACAATCAAACAGTGCAATCAAAAGTTATGTGAAGAACAAGTTGACTAAATTCACCAGTCTCGAAAGACTCTCACCGCGGTAAAAGTGCAATCCACCTGTCCCGGAAGACAACAAGATTTCTTTCATGTCTTTTATCATTTCCTGCATCATGTTAGATTAGTCACAGAGAGTCAAGTTTCTAAAGAGTATCAATGAAATACATGTTCGATTAGGAATTCTAGAGTTCTAAACCATATTCTAGATCTCATCTCTTCTAAGTTGTTTATACTGCATGAGATTAGATTCATGACCTAATATCTGAACCTAGGATCGATTAGAGCAACGAAAGTACTGTATCAGATCATCTGTACCTAGCTTCAGAAGAACATAGCCGCTATAAGAGTCGAAAGCTACCTGTAGAGAAGATGTGAGCAAACAAATTCAGTTGTGATTGCATGATCTTATCCACGGCATGAGAGCGAGAGTTAACTGTCGTATTAAGTGATTAGTTGGTTAAGGTGATGAGAGTTGGTTTGCCATACATATGCCTATTCTAGTTCAATGAAGATACTGGAAATAGATAAGGATAAATCGCCCGAAAACTAATTGGAAATGCTTAGACATTGATTAGGGTAAACCGGAGAAGTATAAATCGCCCCCCTATGAGTTTAGATCCTTAGTTTGAGTCGAATATCCCTTAAGTTTTCTTTAGCAACTCATTTGCATTGCATTTAGTTTCTCGTAAATATTAGGTTAGGATTAGTTTAGGTTCCCGTAAACCAAAAATCTCAAATAACCCCATAAGTTTATGACTCCGCTTACTTATCCCATTTTGAAGTTTTTGCAGATTAGACATCTTCCCTGTGGATCGACACCCTAAGTCCTGCAACGTACATCTGTGCATTTTCAGATATTAGGATTTTATAAATTTAAAACTCCGGACCAACGAACATGCAAAGACCTGTGACCCCGAAGTCCATCAAGTGTCTTTCTGGCGACTGCTTTGTCTGCCGGCGTTTTTACTCTGTTAGATATAGTTTTTAACGGATTTGGTTTTCTGGTTTTACAATTTTTAGAGCAAATATTGATAGTTTTGCTCTCGAAATGACCACTGTTGAAACCACCATGGAGATGGAGACGAAATGATGTCTTATATACCAAAAGGGTCGTGATTATCAGTATTGATCTGCGTCACAGTGTATTTTTCTTGTGGTATGTCAAAGATGGTGACATTGTTCACTATTATAGATGGTTACAAACCTTGATGTCATTAACACAACTACAATGAGTTCGGGTTCTAAGACTGAGGTTTTTGAGATTAGACTTAGATCTCAAAAGGAAGGCTACAACCAAGAATAAATGGTATCTAACGGCGGGAAAATCAATGTCAAGGTTTTTCAAAAAGACACTGATACAGAATAATTGGTATCAAATTGTCGAAGTTTCAGAACTATTTTCGGTAACATCGGGTTTTGTCATGTTGTGTGCAATTCAAAGGTCTGGCCAAGAGATGCTAGCTACACATATAATTCGCATCAGAGAAAGATTGAATACAAAGAAGGAAAATAACGGGTATAAGGCTCTGTTAGCGAATAAGGCTTGTCTTCGGAAAGCATCGTTGAGTTCACTTCTTATGTTGTTTTTTTTCAAATATATGGCACATATATCTGTTTATTTAATAATTTGTTTTCTGAAAGTTCTGTATAATGACTTTGTAATCTCCCTTTGAAATTAATAAAATTGTTTGCCGTAAAAAAAAATACATTGATATCTATTTTATATTTTTTGACTTAATTTTTTTGTCGTTTATTAATAGAACATATGTGTATCCATATAGTTGCGTACACGTGGACACAATTATATGAATATATATGCGGATTCACATAGATATGGCATATGTGGATATATCTATATAGATACACATACATATTTACATATGTATCTATATAATTACATAAATAGACGTAATTATATATATACGCATATTTATGTGTATATAATATACATGGATGTAACTATATAGATACACATACATATTTATATGTGTATCCAATTGTGTACGACACAATTATATAGATACGTATGTGTATCCACGTGCATATAACATACGTGGATGTAACTGTATAGATACACTACGTAACTATATGGATACACATGCATATCTATGTGCATATGATATATAGGAAATGCGACCAATTCGTACCTCAACTCTTTCAACTGGTACCGATTAGTACCTGAACAATTTTGCTGTGCTAATTAATATCTTAACTTTAGAAAATTTGAATATTCAGATCCCAACTTATAATATTTTGGCCAAAACCAACTTTGACTCGAAGTATGTTAGTCAATTCCGTTAAAATATTAAAAATGATGCTTCAGATGCCAAGTGTCATTTTCATTGAAACGAAACTGCAAAACAACGTCGTTTTATGAAAATTGTTTTTTAACAAAATATGCACATTCAAGGAATCAAACCTGTGTGAAGAGAATGCAAAGCTACAATGTTACCAATGCGCCAAATAGGTTTCTTTGAATCTGTATAACCACAAAAGAAAAATAAACCGAGAAATTGCGAAAATATAAAAAGATTATTCTTGCCACGTTTGCTCTTTCACGTCCTTTTCTTTTCTAAAACTGTGTTTGCTCAATTCCTTTTCTTCTCCCCGAGAAAATGCGAGAAAACAAAAAGATTAGTTTTTCTAGGTTTTCTTGATTTCTCTATTTGAATCTTATCCTACAATAAATGGTGGCTTTTCCTTGTTCCGAGGGATTTAGGGTTTCTGCTGTTCATATACTTCTAGGTTTATCTACATTCGGGTAAAGATTGACGAAAGAGAATCAATCAGATATGAAAATGGCATGTGCCTGAATGTGACCTACTTTGTTTTTTTCCCTCAAATTTGGGAATAAAGTTGGGTTGTTGTTTTTTTGGCTAGGACACAAGGTTTATCAATTTTTGTGATTATACAAATTCAAAGAACTTGATTTAGTACAGTGGTAACATAGCACATTTGTCTTCTTTTAACCCAGGTTCAATTTCTTTAGTATAGTCTGCATGTGTGACTATGTGATGAAGTATAGTCTGTGTAACTAACTATCATTTTTCCTTTTTATTTTTAAATATGAGAATAATAGTTGAAATGATGACAGAAGTGGAGAGAAGAGGAAGTTTGAAAATAATATAGAGAATAATAGAGAGAGAAAAGAGTAAGAAGTAATGAAATTAGATCAGATCAATGTTTTTAAAACCGGACCGGTGATCGAACTGGAAATTTTGTTGGGACATGGGTTAATATGGTTTAACTGGGTTCAACCAGTTTCAACCGGTTTAATAATATTTTACAACCTCTAATTAATTAAATATTAAATAAAATTCTTTAATATTTAAGAAAACATTCATAAAATAAATCCAAAACAACACCAAAATAAAATGGAGTAGCATTAGCAATAATTTAAAAAAAAAACCTCAATAATCTAAATAAAAAACAGCACCAAAATAAAATAGAGTAGCACATTCAATCTTCCTTGTCCAAATCTTCATTACCTTGAACAAACAAAAAAACAAAATACATATTAATTAAATGTTTTAAATTTTGAATTATAGAATGAAAAAATAATTTAAAAAAAAAACTATTCACCATCTTTAGGATATTCTTCAAAAAGATTATCTTCTAACTCTGAATAATCAAGCTCCCATTCGTCTTCTTCTTCCACAATCCAAAACTCAGTTTTATCGATAGACTCGTAATCAACTGGATCATATGATCTACTTCTCTTTGATCTACACATAAAGACAAGAAACTATATATTAATAAATATGCATAAAAAAATCTATCACACTCTACAAATAACAAACCTGTTTTGTAGACGTAAATTATAATGAACATAGACAAGATCATTGCGCCTTTGATGCTCCAGCCTATTTCTCTTTTTGGTGTGAATGCGTTCAAACACACTCCAGTTCCTCTCACATCCAGATGAAGACGCTGTTTGACTAAGAATTCGAACTGCGAGCTTTTGCAAATCAGGAATATCACAGCCAAACAATTTCCACCATTCATCTACAAATACAACAAGAAAAAAAATATTCCATGTAATTAAACATCTTAAAAGTTAGAGAAAAACATAATATATTAACATAACATAACATCACTAACCTAGTCGAGTAGTTTTGCTACAAGTAAGTGCCATCTCCCGAGAAAAACTTCCTTCTCGATCTCTATAGCGGCCAATAGTAGCTACTAGTTTTGTTTCACTTAAACCACCATTCTGCTTTTCAATCAAATTTAGCATTCCACTTGTAATCTCAGGCTTGTCACTAAAGTTCTTTGTATCGTACAAGAAAGCTGGATTCAAAAAGTAAGCGGCAGCGTAAATATCACGACGTAACATCTTATCCCACCTATTGTTAATGATCCTCGTATAAGGCCTGTAAAGATCTTTTTTTTATCAAATATCTTCTTGATACCTAACCGTGCCCTATACATCCCTTCATATACATAAGGCAAAGATGGTTTCTCATCAGAATCACAAATACGCAGCAAACGGATCAAAGGAGACATAATCTGCACAATCATAAAACACCCATTCCAAATGTCTTCATCAAAAATAAGTTGTTTCACACGCTTTGCTTTCTCTGATCTCGATATTTTTCTGAACTCCTCATCAACCACCATACTCTGCAAATCATCCTTATGAGCGTACAAACTCTGCAAAGCTATGAAATTTGTAGCAAAACGAGTGTCTGCAGGACGAATTATCTCTCTCCACCCTGGTCTGTTTCTTAACCAATTCAAGATATGCTTATGGTTATACGCAAACACAGTTATATTTGATGCAGAACTGGTTAGCTTCTCCACCTGAGGTAGTTCTCCCATATCTTAAAAATATCAAATTAATACAGTGGGCTGCACATGGCGACCAATATATGGCAGGATATCTTTCTACAAGCTTAGCAGCAGCAGCTTTGTAGTTATGTGCACTATCTGTCACCATATGAACCACATTTTGGGGGCCAATAATCTCCACAACGTCAGCAAATAGGTTACACAAAATTCTCCTGCATTTGTATATATTCCAGAAGCATCGACTGATTTGATGAAAGTTATCCCTTTAAGACAGTAGACCAGAAAATTGATTAATGGTCTTTGCCTTGTATCTTTCCATCCATCAGCCATCAAAGTACAACCAGTATCAGCCCATGTACTCCTAACAGAGTCAATAATTAAAGAAACTTGCAGTTTAGCATCACATAGTAAACGAACACGTAAATCATGATATGAAGGTCCAATGTAACCATGACCCATGCTTGTAATTTTGCTGATAAAACGTAGAATTCACTGCATTCATGGGCATACACACGTCATAGAAAAACAAAGCAACTGCCATATCAGCATCATGAATCTTTTCCTTGCTTTGCAGACATGACTTTATGGTAGGTTGCACCTGATCTTCTAAACCCCTTTTAAAGTATGAGTTTATATCGGTAGTACCCTTTCTTTTCCGACTCAGAGGCACAGAACCTTGATGAGAAGCTTGACCATCATCTACATCATGAAATTGTCTCATAACATTAACCCCCTTTTTCTCTTTTGCTCTATCCTCGTTTTCTTTCAGTGACGTTCTCATTGCTTATTGAACTTCTGGAGGAACCTTCTTGCATGCATTGGTACTTCCTTTCTGTCTAGCTAAATGTTTTTTCATTCTATTGATTCCACCTCCCTGGTTTTTCTTACCACAAAAGTCACAAGTAAAAGTATTTTTTCCAAGTGAATCTACAGTTTGAGTGACATATGCCCAAGCTGCATCGTATTTTTGACGAACAGAACGTTGTGACGGCAATTGAGATTCTGTGTATGTATCTGATGGAAGTGTCGCATCTGAATCATTCTCTTCCATTATTGAATTCACTACAAATAAAAGTAAAGCAATTAAAAAATTGATTACGTCAAAGCACACCAAGAGGTAGTTTATACTTTATATAATAGATACTAAAAGACTAAAACTAACTAAACTCAACAAACTACTCAATAATTTAATGGTTGTAAAACGTAGTAGTGATCGTTCTATTCTTTGATCGAAATTGAAACACTTTACCTTGATTTTGAACTGTAAACGTAGTAAGGCGGTGGTAAGTTGCAGAGAGAAAGGCAGAAATCTGTAAACTTAGAAACCCTATATCAAATAATGAAGGTAGAAAAACGTAAAAAAAGAAAGAAAAAAAATGATTTAAGCTTTTTTGTTTGAACCGATTTTATGCTGTTTGACGGTTCGACCGGTTTCCGGTTTTTTAGCGGTTCAATCTGGTTTTTTGACCGGTCTAATCTTATGTGGGTTTTAGTATTAACCCAACCCGGTTATACTTCCGGTTTGCGGTTTAACCTGGTCGGATCACCGGTTCGGTCCGGGGTTAAAAACATTGGATCAGATTAAATAAAGGGTAAAAATGCCAATAATGTACACAAAAAAGGAGATAAGTGTGCCAAAATATTAATATCTCAAAAAGTGTCTATAGTACTTATCTCTTATATAATAGAGCTGATAACACTATATTTTGACCATATTTATGGATCATTTTTAAATAATTTTCAAATATTTTTTTATTTATTTAGGTGTGTTTATTATGATTTTGAGTATTTGTAGTTGCAAAACTCTTTTAAAAAAACTTAGACAAAAGCTTTGCAAATTGGATTGGAGACTAGATTTTCAGTTCAGAGTCAAACAATCAGAAGTTCACCCACAAATGAAGACCTTCTCACCATCTGATCCACCTCAAATTTTAAGACCTTAAAGATGGATCAGCTCCTTCTCCAGCACACTTGACATGAGGACAATCCAATGGTTCAATCAAAAGTTACGTAAAGAGAAAGAAGTCCAGTCAAGCAGCCGACCAGCCTTCCAGACCGCGATCAACACATGTTTTACCATGGCCAGAGAGTTCCTGGCCGCGGAGAATCAGTGTCCGACCCTAGAAGCCCAATTTCAAGCCCATTTGATTTCTGTCTTTGAAGAAATCCTAAGTGACGACAAAACATGCATTGAAGACATATAAATACCTGTTTTAAGAATCCTAAACCGTGTGCTTAGAGTTTTTTTATGTTTTGGATTACTTCTCTTACTAATTTAATTTTGTTTTAGGTTTAGGGAGATAGAGATATATCTCTTGAACCCTCTTTATTTCTCTTTCAATATCGATTTCTTTACAGCTTTCATAAAAAATATTTTTGCTTTCATTACTTATGTCTGAGTAATTTACTTCTTGGGTTTAAGAGAATTTTCGATGGTGATCTATATGTTCGATGAAGATTGTATAAGGTTATTAAGCCAAATCTTGTACAAAATATTGCGTGCACCTGTTACCCGGGCCAGAGATGAAAGTTATCGGTCAGGGTCGTGGGTGGCAGTTGGTTTTGATCACGTTAGTGACGTAGTAAAACATCCGTGCTTGAGTTCTAAGAGTTTTAGCTATAATATTTTTATTTATTTTTTAGCAATGTTTTGAATCGATCATATCCCAAGATATTCTCAAATAACCCAGCGTCTCTCTTAATAGATTTTACACTGATTTTCTCAAGCTTTAGTTTTTCAATTGATTTTCTTAAGCATTTTTTTCTTTTCCCGTTTAGATTAGGATTTATCTTGAGTGACCCCCAAAAATCCCTACAAAAATTGATAGTTCTAAACTTTCTTATTCAATTAAACATCATCTTTTCTCTGTGGATTTGATCCCTAAGTACTACAATTGATTAGGTATGCACTTGCGGCTTCATTGTTTCGATTAAGGTAAAACTTGCTTACATCTCGCACACCACACAAAAGGTCATCACTTACCTCCACACGCTTAAAAAAAAATCTTTGTGTGTTAATGAAATTGAGACGGACAAATGGCTAGAATATTCTCTTATTTTTAAAGTTATTCTAAAATACAATACCTCTAATAATTAGTATTTTCTTGATCTTTTTTTTTTTAATTTGACAAAGTGGTAAAAAAAAAAAAAACCAATCAAACCAGTGTATATTTAATTACAGACTCAGGGCCTGATGGTCTAACTGCTGGATTCTACCGAAACCATTGGCCTACAATCAAAGCAGATGTGGTTAGTTTCATTCATCACTTTCTTGAAACCACTGAGTTAGATCCTGTTTTAAATCATACTCATATTTGTCTGATCCCAAAGATAGAGTCCCCTACAGAAGTTAAAGATTTTAGACCTATAAGTCAAAGTAATGTTGCATATAAGATACTTTCAAAGGTGCTAGCGGAAAGACTTAAGCCTTTTCTGAATGGTCTTATTTGTGAAAATCAATTAACATTTATTCCTGGAAGACTCATTACAAATAATGTTCTTATCGCACAGGAAATGATGCATTCAATGCGTACCAGAAAGCTTAAGTATCCCTATATGGCTGATAAAGTAGACATAAGCAAGGCTTTTGACAAGGTAGAATGGACTTACATAGATCATATTATGAGAAAAATGGGTTTTGCAGATAAATGGTGTCATTGGATTATGAAGTGTATTACTTCTGTGACATACTCAGTTTTAATCAATGAAAGTCCATCTACAACGATCACTCCAACACGCGGAATACGCCAAGGGGATCCACTTTCCTCTTATATTTACCTCTTATGTACGCAAGGACTCTCACAGCTCATCATTCAAGCCGAACAAGCTGGTTTGATCACTGGATTTCAAGCAAGTAGAGGTAGTCCATCTATTTCTCATATGTTATTTGCTGATGATTCTCTAATCTTTTGTAAGGCAACAGTAGATGAATGTGAGACATTGATGGCTGTTTTAGCGAAGTATGAGCAAATTTCAGGGCAACAGGTTAATTTCCAAAAATCAGCAATCACTTTTACCAAAGGTGTAAATCCAGCTCTTAAGGACTATATTCTTCAAACCACAAAGATTGCAAAGGTTGGAGACTTTGGGAAATATCTCGGTTTACCAGAATTTATTGGCAGGAATAAATGCAGTACTTTTTCTTAACTGGTGCAGAGAGTATCGGATAAAATGGAGAATTGGTATGCAAAATTCTTGTCTCCTGCTGGTAAAGAGGTACTTATCAAATCTGTTGTAACTGCTCTACCAACATATTGTATGTCTTGTTTTAAATTGCCTCAAATGGTAGCGGTCACAAGGCGTTTCTGGTGGTCTACACAACCAAACAGAGGAGGTATTAATTGGGTTTCATGGGAAAAACTTACGAATCCCAAGAATCAAGGAGGTTTAGGAATTAGAGATCTTCAAGAATTTAATGTAGCTTTGCTGGCTAAACAGGGTTGGAGGCTCATGCAAAATCCAAACTCCCTTTTAGCTAAAGTTTATAAAGCAAAGTACTACCCTACGACTACGTTGCTTGAAGCGAAACAGAAAAGGAACTCAAAGTTACGCTTGGAGGAGTATTTTAGCAGGCAATAAGCTGCTTAAGAAAGGAGTTAAATTGATTGTTGGAAATGGGGATCAAATTCAAGTGTGGAAGGATCCATGGCTTCCAATTATCCCATCTGCTCCTGCAACTAATATCGGTACTAATGCAGCATCAGATCTTAAAGTCAAAGATCTATTTGTTAGAGGCACGAAGGAATGGGATAATATAAAGCTTTCTTCACTTTGTCATCCTATGGATATACCTCTAATTAAAATGCTGCGTCCTTCAGTTGCAGAAACTCAGGATATGATCACTTGGATACACTCGCAACATGGGGAATATACAGTAAAATCGGGATATAATCTCATCCAAGCTAATAGAGGTCAGAATTCTTCTACTCCAATCCATTTATATAATTTTCTGTGGAAACAAAATATACCTCCCAAGATAAAGCATTTCTGGTGGAGAGTTTTTCATAATGCACTCCCAGTGGCAAATAGTTTAAAGCAAAAGGCAGCACTAAAGGATAGTACTTGTCAGTTATGTGGTGAAGCAGATGAAACGGTAAATCATCTTCTTTTTAATTGCCGTATCAGTAAGGAAATTTGGGAATTAGCTCCACTTGATAATCCATTATCTGAGTATTTAAATACTCATGACATCTGGGATAACTACCAAAGTTTTATAAATCTAAACAAGATGTCTACGGAAAGGCTTTCTCTGTTTTATATTTTAAGCTGGAGAATATGAAAACAGAGAAATGATGCCATTTTTAACAATCGAAGGTGGCCCATTCCAGATATAATTAACAAAGCACTAGTTGATTTCAAGTTGTGGAGAGAAGCTATAGAAGCAAATAATCAAACCCTCCAAGCTTCCCATAATCCCATGCTCTGTCACAAGGACCACTAAGACATCAACGAGACATTCCCAAAACCACGCAAGAAGCTATTCATAAAGCTGATCAATATTGCTGCTTTATAGATGCTTCCTGGATTTCTCAAACTCAATTAGCTGGGATTGCCTGGATCTTATATGATAAACAGGGTAAAGCTCTTCTCAAAGGCTCAGGTGCGATCTCTCCGACTCAATCTTCTATGGAAGCGGAAGCAGATGCATTATGTAATGCAATTATTAATCTGAGAAGGTTAGGCTATGAGAGAGTCACATTTTGTGGAGATCTTCAGATGTTATATGGACTCTTGTATACTAACCGAACCTACCAAAGATATGAGAAGCCACAAGTTGGAAAA